AAATATTTTTTTCAAGATGGTCGCTAATAGATGCAACTTTTTAATTTATATTCAAATAGAGTGTTTGTTATTTATATAATTTTTAGATCATTAAATTTAATCCAAATGATCGTTGACATAATTATAATAATAATAAATCGTCGTAATTCATTTTCTCGACTCCTTTGTCTCTCCAAGATATTATCATCGACCAATAGTAGAGCTTTGAACTAACTTTAGATAGTGAATCTATTTTAAGATAATTCTGGTGACTATCGCGCAAGAAAAGGAACTATAAAAATCAATTGGAGATATGTAGGAAGTATAGATATATAAATATATATATACACACACACATATATAGATAGATTTTGAAGGAAATAAAGTAATGAGATATTTATAAAGAAATGAATATAAGAAGTTTAGGAAAGAATAGAAATTCAATATGTGTATAAAATCACCTAAAGAATGCGAAAAATTGGTAGAAAAAAATACAAATAGATAAAAGAAATAACATTAAAAGAAAGCCCGAGTCTTCTTACTTGGAAAAATATTCAACTACGGGGGCGCGTACCGTCGTCTCTCCCATTTCGCAAGCGCAGGGGTGTTGCGTTATCATCCCTCTCTTGAAGTTTCTTTTCTCTCTCTCTCTCTCTCCCTCTCCCTCTCTCTCTCTCTCTCTTTCTCTCTCCTCTTTCGGTATCGCGCAAAACGCAGGAAAACCTAACGTGTTTTATCGATTTCGTTGTACGGGGGTTCGGCCATGTTCGCATTTGCCATCGGTCAGGCGCACTAGCGTTCTACCTCCTTTGTAGAAGAGCCGTGTTACGGATAGATTTTCCACCGTTCTACCATCGTCGCAAGGGCGTTCGACGACAAAGACGAGGTGGACGAGAAGGATGTGTCTCTAATCGCGAAACGATAATAATTGTGTCGAGTTATCAATTTCCTTATACTTCAGCATCACCGTCTATAGTTTTGTCCTTCTTTCTCGATCTACAAGGAGAAATAATACAATCGAGTAAAGAACAATCGATCCCATAGATTCAATTCTTTTTAACATTGTCTGTTATTTTCCACCGGACGATAGAACAACGGTGTGCTTGATTTTTGTCTTGGCGGACAACACAACGCACTCGCCGAAAAACTGACGACGTTAAATAAGGAATTCATTCAATTTTGTGAGTACTGTTTTATTTCTTTTTGATCTTTCTTTATCTTTATTTAAATGTCCTGAGTTTTTTTAAATAAAGGAATTAATAAATATATCTATGTGTATATATATGTGTGTATATATATATATATTATATCTTTTTGTATATCGGTTATTCGTATAAGCAAGCGGCTATCGAAATGGTGATACGCCACGCTCCCTGGAATCGATATCTCTCTTTCCCTCCCTCTCTCTTTCTCTTCTCCTTACTCCCAGCTTACCGTGATTTTTCGACCTAAATTCGAGAACCGATTTCTATTCGCTTTATATACGCAAAATTCGATCAATTATATCTCTCTCTCTCTGTCTAAATCTGTGTATTCTGAGAAGAACACTTAAAATCACTCCTTTCTATTATCTTTTTTTTATTTTCTTGTCCAGTTTTCTGTATTCATTTCCAAGTCGCGTCTGAAATTTTGAAAGGCTTCCATTAATGTTACTCCCGCGCATCGTTAGATTATTTCGTCAAATATATGCAATGTATTTTTATTTTATAATCGAATTAAAGAGAGTATAATATGTTTTTTTAATATAAGTTATGTAAATCTTAAAAAATCTTGTTAAAGATCTTATTAAAGATCTTCTCTGAACGTTTCTTTTTAAAAGAGTAGGGAGGGGGTGGAATATTCATTCATGTTGGAAGGGCGTTGGATCGTAAAGATCGTGGCAGAGACGTCCTTGAGAAAAGGATTTGGATAAAACTACGATAATATTAAAGAATAATTATTATCTTCTAAAGGGAGAAGAGATAGAGAGAGAGAGAGAGAGAGAGGGCTGATAGTTGGTTAAACCAAATTGATGAACGAGAAAATATATAGAGTGTCGAATCATTTTTTTCCAACTATCATATTATAATTTTTCAGCTGGGCAGGCAACATGATTTAAATGACAGTGTTTACAATTAGTTTTACACGGTTTGTTTGCTTGCATAATAACCATTAGACGATAACATGAACGTTCTTTTCTGTATAAATCAATTTGTAAACTTTTTTAGCTCTGATTAACCAACTAATATATTTTTTAATCATTTTTGTTTAATATATGAGTTATCATAACTCTCATTTTCTTGTCGAGTTATCATAACTCCCGTTTTCTTCAAAAAGTTGTCAAATTAAACGCGAGTTCACCGTTAATTCAGCTACTTGCAAAAAACCTTTGAAAACATTTAATAATGTACGGTGATAATATTACTGGACCGCCCGAGTCTATAACTATCCGCTTGGTATCGATTTACCTTCCTCCAAGTATGTACACTCATGACGAATACAAACGTAGCCACATACATACCTACGAACATAAATGTACATAATACTGGGATGGACTCTGGTTAGTTCACACAAATCTGATTCGAATATCATTGTAACGTTTTTATTTGAAAACAGATCAATCAGAAAATGTATTTTTAAAATAACTTGAAAAATATATTTAACAAAGTGTAAAGACAAATTATTTTCAATTGAAAAATGAGAGAAATTTCAAAGTAATTATGAAAATGCATTTGATGCGCATAAATTTGATTACGGATGCTGTGAAAACGGGAATGTTGGTGTTAGAAATGTTCTATATATAAACTCAATATTTACAATGAATATTTTCTAGATATTAAGGGTAGGTAGTAGGTAGTAGAAAAAAATCACAAACGTGTATAGGATAACCTTTGCTATCGTTCATGGCGGTTCAGAGCATTATGAACAAGTTTACAAGGCGGTTAAATAATCCTATTGAAAGGCATCTCTATCGATTTTACATACGTGTTACATGGCACACGTAAGATTCTGCTATTGCTTGCCTAAAGCACGTACGAAAACTTAACAGAAACAACATTGCAACATTAGCTTTGATTTAATCTCATCTTGGATAATGTCCTCCTGCTGGATTAGGGGAAAAATGATTCGAAAGGAGAAAAAACCAATTGGACCTACTAACTAAATGGGAAAATTTATTCAGCACAATAAATATTCCCTGTCGTATTCGAATATTTGAATAATCACTCTTAAAACACAAAATTTTAAAATTTATACTCGTTTACCCGTTGGGGAATTGTTTTTATAGTCAGTCAGTCATTTTGGATCGATTTCATTTGGAGAACATGTGTATTCTCTTGTCTCTCCTTTGAAAAGTCTCTCCGTTAGAAAAAAAAATATAAATCGTAAGCGATAAAACACAAAATGGCATTTGTTAATGGACGCTTTGAAATCGTACAGAATAATGCCACCTTTTAAGAGGGAAGCGTCATCGGAAGTGGCACCCGCAACAACTACTTCAGGAAATGTCGAAACGCAAGAGGAAACATCGAACCTTCCGCAATTGACAATGAAGTCCATGACCAGTACCGAGGAGGCAGCAAGAAGCGGTTAGTTCCTTAAGAATACATCCAATTCTATTATTTGGATTATTTCTACGCGCGCATTATATTAACACATTTTTTTTTTTCTCGGTTTTTTTTATATATATTTTTTCAGAAACCGAGTCGGAAGTCACTACGGAAAGTACGATGAAAAATCTGAAGGATCAACTCGGAACGTTGTCGAAAGATCTGGCCGAAGAAATGGGAATACCAACGTGGGGTTTAGTCGCGATTTTAATAGGTACGCACGAATCTTTCAATTTCTATTGTTTCTCTCTATGGGATATGAAAAGCGCATTGTGTTTTTTTCATTTTTGAAAAAAAAAAAGAAAGAAAGAAAAATCTCGATGACGTAGTCTTGATGAAAATGACATAATATATATAATAGTTCGACTTGAGCTTTTGCGAGTAAAAGTATTGTATAAAAAGATAAAAACAAATGTATCAGCATATGTACGTGCATATGAACATCCATCCATCCGTCCATCCATCCATCCGTCCCTTGTTACAATTCAATTTCATGCATTTCCATTCACCATTGTTTTTCTTTTTCTTTACTTTTATTATTCGAAAGGGGAGAATCACTTTCTTCGTGGGCCACCCCCCATCCTTATATATGCACTTATCCCTGAAACAACCCTGACACAATTCTGCCTTCTTGCCTGCCAAATAAATACCTATCAATCTACATAATTGAATGATTCCTTTCTAATGGCGTATTCGTTACTCAGCTGTCGGCGTAGTCGTCCTCGGGATTTGTTTCTGCTGTATAAGAAGATGTTGTCGCAAAAGACGTTCCAAGGATGGTAAGAAGGGCCTAAAAGGAGCGGTAGATTTAAAATCAGTTCAGTTACTTGGAAGCACGTATAAGGATAAGGTACGTATTCGGTGTACCGTGTTTATTAGTAGATATTAGAAATAAAATTCTACACACGTGGAATCCATTTCGATGTCCTTAGGTACAGCCTGATATGGAAGAACTCACGGATAACGCGGAAGAACCAGACGAAGCTGAAAGCAAACAGAGCGAAGTCAAGCTCGGAAAGCTTCAATACAAGGTGAAGAAGGAAATAGAATCGAAGATACGAACAAATTCTTTTAGCAAAAGACCAAATTGTTAAAGAATATATATATATGTATATAATTCATCGTAAACGACTTCTAAGTATTGAATTTTCAGCTCGAGTATGACTTCAATTCAAATAGTTTGGCAGTGACGGTGATACAGGCCGAAGAATTGCCAGCTTTAGACATGGGTGGTACTTCTGATCCTTACGTAAAGGTATACTTGTTGCCCGATAAGAAAAAGAAATTCGAGACGAAGGTCCACAGAAAGACGCTGAGCCCTGTCTTCGAAGAAACGTTCGTCTTTAAGGTCTGTCTCATTTAAATTCGATTCATTTAGTATCACACCTATCATCGATGATTGTCTATTTGTCTTCTTATTTATATCGTTACAGAATGTACCCTACGCGGAGGCAATGAATAAAACTTTAGTATTCGCGATTTTTGACTTTGACAGATTTTCTAAGCACGATCAAATCGGTGAGGTGAAGGTACCATTGTGTCAGGTCGATCTCGCACAGACCATCGAGGAATGGCGAGAATTGCAAAGCGTCGAAGGAGAGGGTGGTCAGGTGGGTCAGATGAAAATCAACATTAATCTAACATCAGAATGCATAAGATACACGCGTATATCTATGTTCATTTCTTCCTTTTTATTGGACAAAAGATAGAAACGAGAGATCAGGGTCGTGTAATGGTTTAAAAGAAACAAATATATTTCATTGCAGGATAACAAATTGGGCGATATTTGTTTCTCCCTGAGATATGTCCCAACGGCTGGTAAACTCACGGTGGTCATCCTCGAAGCTAAGAATCTTAAAAAGATGGACGTCGGTGGTCTCTCGGACCCTTACGTCAAGATTGCACTCATGCAAAATGGTAAAAGACTTAAGAAAAAAAAGACGTCCATCAAGAAGTGCACTCTTAATCCTTATTACAACGAATCGTTCACCTTTGAAGTACCATTCGAGCAGATCCAAGTAAGAAATATATGATTTACTTACTTGTAGAGAGATTAAATCAAAGAAATACATCATATCATATGTTCGTGTATTTTACAGAAAGTGCAATTGGTCGTGACAGTGGTAGACTATGATCGCATTGGTACTTCGGAACCAATTGGCAAGGTTGTATTGGGATACAACGCGAGTGGAACTGAATTGAGACATTGGTCGGACATGCTGGCATCTCCAAGGCGTCCAATAGCTCAATGGCACACACTCAAGGAACCCGAGAACGGAGACAGGAAGGATTAAATTAGTTGAATGAATATTTAATCGAGGTAATGCCCATCGTAGTTTATCCTAGATAGACTCAAGATATGTGCAATATATAATATTATAAACGATGCTCGTAATGATTTGCACAAATGTTACGTAGATCACTTTATTTCGATATACTGATTCAATAACCTTTCTTTGCAGGAATATATCGCACGAGAAAGAAACAGTAAAACGAAACAACAATATGTGAAAGTGAGAGAAAGAGAGAGAAAATTTACGTGAACAAATGAACACACACACAGAAATCTATATATATATATATATATATATAGAGAGAGAGAGAGACAGAGAGAGACAGAGAGAGAGAGAGAGAGAAGAAAATGAACAGCAGATAGACGGGCAGAAAAAGATAGGAATTAAGAAAACAAAACTTACAATTAGCAGATATTAAACGATCTATGATTAAACTAAATAACAATGAATACCACCAAAGATTTAGAATTAACAATATGTTCTCATGCAGTGTAGTGTCTTGTATATATACATGCATATATACATACATATATATATATATATACTTTTACTTCTTTATGTAGATGTAAAACACATTTGAATAATAATTTCTCGAATGAATATACAAACGAATTCTCTTGAAATCTATGAGAAACGTGTATCACAAAATAAAAAGAAAAAGAAAATAATTCGCAATATAAGAGTACCTACATATTTCGTAAGTGTATATACGTATATATATATACATACACTAACGCACGTAAATATGCATAATATATACATATGTATGTATACACGCGCCGCGCATACCACATAATACACATACATACATACATATATATTATCAAGTTATCCTCCCAGAATAGAATTCTTTATAAAATTAAAATAAGAAAGATAATAAGAGAAAAACATTATCCACATAAGTATAAAAAAATTCTCATGGTTTCCTTCGACGTTCCAGCGCAGATTTGATGAGAGACACTTTGTAAAGTAATCGATATTGTTCGTGTTAAAATTTGTTGAACCGATTGTGAGATAATATAACACTGAAAACACAGAAGAAGTCATTGCATATACACGCATATGTACGTACAGCACGTGTGTTAAAAATGGCGTGCACGTCACATAGCCAATGTATTAACATTTCTTCTAAAAGGAGTATAAGTAAATGGTCAAATGTAATAAGAAGAAAAAAAGACAAGACGTAATAAGCTTACGTGCATATAAGTGCGAGTAAAGTAATTAAGTTAAATAATCACAAGGTACTTGTGTTTTTCGTGTAAAAAAAAAAAAAAAGAAAAAAAAAAGAAAGAAAGAGGAAATGCTAATGTGCGAATGATCAAACGAGCGAAAGAAAGAAATAGAGAGAGAAAGAGAAAGACATGAATCAAGAGAGGAAATATAGAAAATAATACATATTTAGAAGGATAACCAACGAAGCTTCCGTCGACCTCTCGACGCCTATGAGCATGAACAAAGATAAGTGAAAAGGGATAATTACAAAAAAAAAAAACAAAACTTTCGATCGTGAGAAAAAGATGTTAAAAGAAAATAATTGAGAAAAAGAAAAGTATAAAATATGACATAAAGAGATGACGTTCAAATCGGAGGAACATAAGTATTGCAGTACAACATATGATATATATATATTTGTCAAAAATTGTTCTCTAGCGAAGACGACGAGTCTGCTTTGATAAATTTCTCTTCCAAAATTGGTAATAAAAAAAACATAACGACGCATATATATGTACATACGCATATAATCGTACTATATGTACTTATAGGGTGTTTCCTCTAATGAGTGGGTACAACCGAGTGGGGTGTGATTTTATATGTATAAGAATCAGTGTAAACAAAAATTTATTAACAATTTTCTCACAAATTGAAGGTATCCTAATGAATAATGGGAAAGTTCGCGTGTGCTCTAATAATTTAATCTTTATTCGCTCGCGTCTAACAATGGTCGACTGTTCGTTCTTTATTCTTTTCCACGCTTGTATATTTCAGAAGAATGTAATAAATTTTCATCCGTGCTCGGTCTAACAATAAGCTTGCTCGACAAAGGGAAAAAAACCTTTGTGATCGTTTGTTTGTCTCACTTCTTCTTCTTCTTCTTCTTCTTCTTCTTCTTATATTACAATTGAGCAAGCTTGTTAAAAGAAGTTTTCTTCGTAAAAGCCATTTAAACTCGAAAAGTTTCATTGTTCATTATAGATTCGTCATCAATCCTATAAATACTTACGACAAAGAGAATAAAATGCGATCGAGATTCTCTCCCCTAGAAAATTACCTTTTCTCATTTGAGTTTCCGTTTTGACAAAAAAAATATCGTATTTGAAAATCTTTAGCTCCGTCCGCCGTATTATCTTTTTATCTAGATGGCGACGATACACTAAACGTAAGAGAAATGTGTATGTTCATTGTATGCTCGAAGATAAAACGTAGTAAATGGCAATTGTATACGAAAGCGTAGTAAACAAAGACAAATCTTTATAACAAATAAGAGACATTTTCAAAGACGATTTTTTCGGAAACGGTACCTCAAATGCATCATCATTCTCATGCATCAGCCGGTTGTCCTACTCATCTAGTACACCCTTTATATTACATATCTACATATATATGTAATAGATATACATAAATATAAGTAGCACACGCGCTCGCTCACTTGCTCGCTTACTCATACATACGCGGTACTCATATGCGATAACGTTTACGATTCTCTATTATTTCTATGTCAAACGGTATATCGCGAACGAATGTGGAAATAATTAATTACAGATAAAAAAAGAAAAAAAAAAGAGCGTAAATCGTTTCTATGTGTTGTATAAACGTACACGCGATCATGGGCGCGCATACGTATACGTACATACGTGTGTATATTACGCACATATATATATATATATATATATATATATAAATACTACAAGTTTACAACTGCAGATATTGTTGTTATTGTTTTACAAAAAAAAAAAAAAAGCAAGAAATTATAAGAAACGGGCCTATATGTCATACGTAAATGATCTCGATCCCTTAAATCGGGGACGTGAAAGCAACGAGGATGATAAAAGGGCGAATGCAATTGTCAAATAATTGAGAAAACTTGAAAACAAAAACTAGTGGAGACTCCCTGACGCAACCCTGATGCGGACAAAAATTGGATAAAAAAGAGAACGCGAGGGGGAGAGAGAGAGAGACGGGGAAATATAACCTATATCCTATAAAAAATTTAAGAGAATAATTGAAAATATTTTACGAATTATTATGGTAGAATCTCGTATCGCTGTTAATATCCGTCTTAAAACGATATCGTAATAAAATATTACGGAAGAGGAGAGGAATTAAAATGGAAGAATAAAAAACGAATTAAAGAAATGTAAAAAGAGAAAATAAGAGAATAGAAGAACAAAATTGAAATTCGCTACTCCTCCGCTGCTGCAGCCGCCACCCCCCCGCCCCCTTATTAACAAATTGAACATAAGTGAAAACCGTTGTTTGGTTCTATCTAATTTTTCATTAAGGACCAATTATCTCGCTAGTGCGTATCAAATTAAAAAGTACTCGTTCTTATTAACTGTGAAGCATTGTACCTAAATGAAAAAAAAAAAACAAACAAATTCTTTAAAGACGAATTCGCGTAATTTTAACAACGTTAGAATAGTGTCCGTGAGTTGAACGATGACATCGATTGATATTTTATATCAAAAAGATCTACAAAATAGTTCCCTCGGAGAGTCCATTATTTCTTCTTCTTCTTCTTCTTCTTCTTCGTTTTAATTCATGTTTTCTTTTAATTAATCTTTATTTGTATCAATTGTACGAGAGAGTTGAACAATAACAACAACAACAACAACAATAATATGCAATAGTATGTTACTATAAGCTTTGGATATCGAGTTGATAGATCCTTAATTGCACGAATACGCATATATACGTACATACATGCATAGAAACATAGACGTTTGACACATATTTAAAAGCTAGATTTTGGTAATATTCGAAATTACGATAAGCATAGTGTGTGTGCAGTATACGTAGGTCGGAAGTTGTGGCTCACACGCGGTGACAGTTTATTATTATCTTCATTACAGCCTTTCCCTTTTATTTCGAAAATCTCTCTCTCTCTCTCTCTCTCTCTTTCACTCTCTCTCTCTCTCACACGAGAAAATTTCACAATTGCGGTTTTTCCGCGTGCGTGCGTGCGTATTACTTTTTAGTAATACGCGACGTAATATGTCGGATATGAAATTAAAGGAAAAGAGAAAAGCGATTTTAAATAAAAGCGTACGCACCTGTTAACCCCTATAATTCACAACGACGGCGCGGACATACGTATTAGTTATGCAATGAACAGCAGCCCGTTTGTTTTTCCTTCCTTTTCAAAATAATTTTAGACGCATTCTTTGTTAATTGCATGGTTCGTTCCGTTATCACAACCCTTCGATGTCACCGTTCACCTGACGCGAATTCTAATCTTTCAATATCTCTAATTATAGCCGTGAGATAAAAGAAACGAATAAAAAGAAGGAGGAGTACGCATTGCAGGTGAAGTTTGTTGATTTTGTGATTAGTTTTCAGGACAGTGGTTATTTACATTTAAGATATGAGGATGCTTGTTTTCTTGTTGCATAATATCTAAATTAAACGAATGATCATCTCAAGTGTGAAAAAAAAAAAAAAACTATTATACTGAAATAACAAGTTTGCCTGCTTTTAAGGAAACTATGTTTGATATTTTTGTCCACACGATTCAACTTCTCTTCTTTTTCAACGTAGACTTTTAAACGCCTTCTCATATTCGTTTAAGGAATAAAACAATAATAATAATAATAATATTAATAATAATAATAATAATAATAAAAGGAAAGAAGATAAAATGGTGATCCTGTGGCGACATGCATCTCTTTATGAAGCGTTTCGTTTGAAAAGAAACAAAAGAAGTATAACCTCAAAAAAAAAAAAAAACTTATATATAAATATATATCTTCCTCGAAGTAGAGCGAGAAAAAGGGAGAGAGTGAGAGAATGAAGGAGAAAGAGTGTGTGTGCGTGTGTGAGAGAGAGAAATTGTTGAAACTCGTTTATATATATATATATATATATATATATATATATATATATGATTATCTCGTGAAAATAAAATCTTGAAAAAAAAAAAAAGAAAAAAAAAAGAAATGTAAAGACGGTGAGAGGGCGGATAGGAGAAAAGATAAAAAGAGGGTGGAGAGGAGAGAAGAAACCCGTAAACGGAGTAAGCTTGATACGATGATTGTATCGGGAACTTGTAATCATTCCATTGCATATTATACATACATATTAAGGTTTAGCGCGACAATGTAAATCCATAGAAGTTATTATTATGTCCTTAATTATTATATAATAAATATTGTTGTTAACATAAAATCATATGAGCAAAAGTTCTCTGGTAACGAGAAACAATGACATATAAGACGGTAAGTGAATTTTTTTTATGAGAAATCCAATAAACTCCCAGCACCCACATACATATATATTTACATACATACATGTGTAAATTTGTCAAGTTGCTTAATCGTATACCCTTACTTATAGATAAACGAAATTAATACCTTTGTCGTTTAGATAATACATAAGTACATATTCATATGGCTTTCATAATGTTGCAATAATTCGTATTCGTTGGTTGGTGAGGCGTAAAAAAAAGAAATGAGGATAAATTTTATTCGTATTGTTCATTTCGCAGAAAAATAATAATAGAAAAATAATGAAACTAAGCAACATAAAAGTGTTGGCTCGCGGATTACGTGCATAATTTTTCTTTCTACTTACTTGCTAAACGTCGAAAAATGAATGAAAATCATGATCGATCAATTTAGTATGCATGAATAAAAGATGTCATTAAGTCTCTTTGAAATAATTAATAAATTGATCGTTATTCTATAATTATATTGATGAGTTGCTTAAGCAAGCTTAATACTGGCGGTAAGACGATCGCCTCCGATTTATCTGTTGCTGCTTTTTTACGGGAAGTCCTCGGGCGTACGGTCTGTGTGCGTTTGTTGACAGATAGAAGATGCCTCGTGCTCTTTATATGAATGCACAATCGATGAAACAAAATAATAATAAATTATTCATCGAGAATTTAATCAATGTATTTCAATATAATATGAACTAACGTATGTGGGGCGTCCTCTCCCATGAGAATGTAGTTCTCCAACGGTGGATTGCACCAGCCGATCAGATAAGAGAAAAGATTGCCGCAGGGTGCTGCCCAAAATCCTTTTTTCGTCGTGATCGATTCTATGTAATAAGGCGTTACTTTGGTGTGGTCGCAAGAGAGAGTTTCTATAAGAAGGAAAAACTTAGATTGAATAAATAATTGAAAGGAAAACTTGTCCTTAGAATTCAAGATATAATTATCATTATTATTATTATTCATTGTACATTACTTTATGCGAATTAAGAAAAATAAGTTTGGCGATCGTACTCACGGAGTAGAGAAGAGGTCGCGCATCCGGGTTGGCTCGATCCGCCATTGACATAAAAATCCGCGTGCCCGTTCGGCCCCCATTGGCCTAAAATTCCCGCGCCGGTATGTATAACGTCGACGAAATGGGCATCTGTCTCGTCTAAATCCATCGAACGATTGCCGTTCATGTAGAAAAATATCGTCGGGTCTAGGCCTATATCGAATCGAAAATCCAAAAGTACAAACAATTTCAACTTTGATTACTTTTTTGTCCCCCGAGTCCGAAACTTCTGATCAAACAGATTAAATAAGTTATCATTTAGTAATGAGACTTTCTCGAATAAATGAATGATGCGACACAATAGTGTGCTAGATTAAAGTCCCAGTGAAAGTTGACGCTGGCTGTCGCGTTTATACCAACAAATAGGAAAGCTCCAGTGAATCAATCTCTCTTTCTCTTTTTTTCGAAAGTAATTTCCAGAAAATGACCGAAAGTGAAACGTAAGTGTATAGAACAAAATTAACAGAAATATTCGTAATACTATAAACGCTTAATAAACGGAGGAGTGCAAAAAAATATGCAAATGAAAAACGTAGTAATAAATAATCGATAATAAATCGAAAGTGGATCGAAAGTAGGTCGAAATTAAGTTGAAAATTTACCCGTTATTCTGCCGAGTTTATCCTCAGGCAAATAATTGGCTATCAGTCCAGCGATATGAGCACCAACGCTATATCCAAGAACATGAATATTGTCCACCCTTGTGCCTCGAGGATGATCCCTCAAGTACCTAACCAATTGCGCGATACATCGCGAACAAAAATCCGGTCCCCATTGTATCTGAGAGAGACAAGGCTCGCGTACCAACGTGCCGTAATCGACAATAACGATATTGTAATTGCCTCGACTGAAATATGCTAGAAATGAAGAATTTCATTAAATTCATACACATATTCCTCTTCTTTTTTTTTTGTTTTTTTTTTCCAACAAGATATGAATTATTTACCACGTCTTAAATCCGTACTAGGTGCCAAGTTTCTACCGCCACCAAAGCCGTGAATAATGATTTTCGTTGGATTTGATTTGTTGAATCTGGAATAGTAGAGCGAGTCGAAGCTTCGGACGTCCAAGAGTAAAGGATTTTTTTGCGTGTCTCTGCAAATTTTTTTTCCGATAAATTGATTTACGATTATACATGTGAAAAAGTTCATTATAGTCAAGGTATTTGAGACAGGTATATATTACTCAATGGTAAATCTCCCATTCGTATCTACATGCATAAACGTCGGAGAGAAAGGTATGCAACGAAATGAGGACACACCACTTTCGATACGAGAGATGAGAAATGGTCGTGATCTTGAAAAGGAAAGTCTCTTTATATCCGAGAGTAGAAGTATCTTTTATCTCGAGGCTTTCAGTATGTGTACTAAAAGTTCCTTTATAGTTATAAAAAAATAACGTTTGCAACGTTCGTACATAAAATATATAAGCTTATTATTATTAGATTGTAGTATAATAAAAAAGAGGTCCCTCTAGAAAATAATTCAAAAGACGCGGAAAAATCTTGATCGCGTAAACGGTTGTGAACAAGTTTACCTCGTGTACAAATAAAATTCAATTTGAGGATGTGGACACTCGAATGGTGGCTTAGCGCACGATGTACTGTTGAAGAGATCCTTCAGGGTTTTATTCTGTGCGCTTACGTTATCTGCGAATGAAATGAAAAAAATAAAAAGATAGAGAGCATGAATCCGCGTTACATGAATAATAGATCGATCCAAAGGACGAGTTAGAATACATATCCAATAAACAGCATATCTATTATTAATACTATTACTATTACATCGTTCTTGAATAGTTTTCATGATTATCTCGGATCGTTGCATTAACATTACGTTAGATGAAAAAGAAAAAGAGAAACGAGGCAAGTGGGTGAAGGTCGAGCCGTCGCGATTACGATCGACCACTTTTTACTTTCTTTACAAGATTTTTATCCCAATTAATTATGCAAGTTGCAAGATGTTTTTAACCTAAATTTTATCATACGTTTTATTTTCCAAGTTTTATTCCAAGATGCTATAACCAAATTTAACAAATATTACCCTATTAATGCCCCAATTCAAATGTAATAACATTATTATATAATATCTTTTTCAAGTTCATTTTTATAAAAAGAGAAATTTTCACGTTTTACTCGTTAACACGAATAATCGATTTTACAAATTAGTTTTCACTTTGGCGTTTTTTAATGTGCGTTCAACTTGAGAGGAATAATAATGGTCTGTCCGTCCGTCCGTTTGGTGAAAATGTTTCTGACATCGATCTCGAACGAGATATGTATATTCATTCGTTGTCAGTTAAATTAATGAATAGTGTCTGATTTTACTCACGTTGATGGTCAAAGATTGAGCAGATGATGACGAGAAAAAAAAGATATATCTCGAAATTGATCGCCATATCCCACACTCCTCTGATTCGTATTCGTAATATTGCATTCAGGCACGTAGAAGATCGAAACACTATTAAGATGTAAGAACAAAATGCTTTTGCAAAATGTTAAACTAAGCTAGCACGTTCGGTGATAATGAAAAAGGAAGGATATGGGGGAAAAATAAATATTAGAAAGTACAAGAACTTTTGTTGTGTGTGAAAGAGAGATGAATGCGTGATGAAAATGTAAGAAACATGCGTGCTGGGCCTCCGAGTGGCCGAAAGCACTGCAATGAGGAACTTACAGAGGAACGAACTCGAATGAGCTCGCGTTCCACCGGCAAACACGTGGAGAACTTCACTTTCCCCTACTCCTCTTTTACTCTTTTACTCTTGTACTCTTCCGTCCCGTTGCAAAAAAAATCCATCCTGTTGTTCCAATTTTAATTAAACGATTTTTAAGTCGAATTTATTTCAAATATATTATACATTTCAATTGTTTTCAAAACAATAATAATCAATCGAGTCAATCTTTATTTTATAGACGATTGTTGAGAAACAATAAGAATTATAATAACGTATAACGAGATCGTTTTCATTTCAATAAAATTGCTATTTTTTGGCTAATCTTTCTTGGTGTATCACAATTCTATTCAAACTCTATTTAAGTCATATTTCAGTATTATTCAATGAAGCGAAAAAATGTGAAGTATCCCCTTTAGCATTTATTATTTTTAACGCGCGTTCAATTAAATAATCCTTAATTCTGAACTTTTTCTACCAACTATCATAAATATGCATTAGTATGTAATACTTTTTTTTTTTTCACGTTTCCACAATGGCAACTAAAAAAGGGAAAGAGGAACAGGAAGAGGAAGCTATGTAGAAAACGAATGGGGGATCTCCTTAAAACGTCGTACGAGAAATTTAAACGCAAAAATGTTCTTTATTATTTCGAACTTGGTGGATTACTCGAACGTTCTTACGTTCTTTTCTTTTTTCTTTTCTTTTTTTTTTCTAATTAGAACGTTGAATCGTAGAACGTACATAAGTATACTTACATATACACATACATACGAGCGCACGCATCCACACACACACGCGCACACACACACAAATACATGCGTACATTCATATACATAAGAAGATATATATATATATATATAAGAATTAATCATCTTCTCTCTCGTGTTCATCGTAAATCTCTACGTGCTACGTACTACATATTTATGCATTGTAAATACATCCGTCGATGATTTTGCATGGCGACATGCAATAACGAATTAAAGTAAAAGGAATTTATCAATCTTCGGCTGTCTAAATGACAAAATATTTGTATCAACAAATCTCGTGACATCGTTTTAACCCTAGAACTATTTTAAACTTATTTTTGTATAATCTTCAAACTACAAACTGGGGTATATATTTACCCCAAGCTTTTCTAATCCTAAAAACTGTTCTGATAACAATAATCAGACTTTTAAGTATATGAATTTTTCGGTGTTTTTTTTCATACCAAAGAGAATGGTGAAGAGCAAATTGAATTTTACTAAAGTTTAATCGTTGAAAAATCGATTTTAATAAATGAAAGAGTACTGAAAAACGATCAAATCTTCATTTAATTTAAGCTTACTTGGAGTATATATATATATGTATAGATATCTACCCCAGTTAGTTGTTCTAGGGTTAACATTATCGAACTGAATACTTAAGAAATTTGAAAAAGAACGGCATCCATTTAATTGTCAATAATCGTCGATATAATAATTATTAACAAACCAGATGGTACCGGAGGGTTCTAACCAGAAGTAATCGATCGAATAAATTTTGCGAATGTTTAAGAACGTAACAGCTAAAGATCTACTTTTTAGCCTAACTTCAAGTGTCTTTCTACATAATAAACAATTGAAATGTATTAAATGTATTATTAAATAACAATTTATACATAGAGATATTTATTGTCCGAGAAAAATTGAAGATTTTGTCATTAAATGGAACGCAGAAATAATAGAAGTAAATGATGCTATTAATGACATTAGAATGAATCTAGGATCGATTTAAAAACACAGACACAGATTTAAGTAACCTCTTTAGAACGAGTTAATGCATTATTTTAGATGCATTGGTAGATAAAGATTAAATAGGAAGCACCTTTTTCGGTCTTCTTCGTTTACTAATTGAAATGAAATTTGTGTCTATACATATACATATTTGACGTATTATAATTTCTCCATATTGAATTGAAAATTTCTTATTATTTCATTATTATAAAATGAATCTTGTCTCGAGATGTTGATTTAATACAAAAATATGGCAGAAGCTACAGACTGACAAGCGAATATACAACATTATCATCGAGTGGAATGGAACATTCGTACCCAACGCAACGTTTAAATCTCATAGGAAACGGTCTAGGTAGTACTTCTCGGTACAGGAAGCAAACGAAATGACAAAACGGTTCGCGTGATGCAAAACGCTCTCTCTCTCTCTCTCTCTCTCTTTTTTTTTTCTGACGAGACTCGTTGCTTCTAGCGCGGAGGCTTATAATTTTAAACTTTCACGAAAAAACAGAAATACGACATAACAATGAGAGATCGTGACTGTTATCTATATACGTGTGCGTTTGCGTTTGCGTTGCGTTGCGTTGCGTTACGTTTCCTCATGAATCTATACGTCTTTTTATTAGAATTTACATACATATGCATGTTTATCTTTATTTTATTTTCTTCTTACTTCGTAATCAACCGAAATTTAACGCTATGCCGTCCGGAAAGCCCATCTTGGGTGTCGTGTTCAGACGAATAACAGTGTCAGACAAAAGAATTTTGGTTATACGTGTGAAAACGTCAACAAAATTAATACATACATATATATATATATACATACTACATATTACTAACTGCAAACTATCGAAAGCCATCAATTATAATCATTTCATCACAATTAATACGCTTATCTATCTCGTCGCGTGCGATCGTCTAATTCGTGGTAGACAAAAACGTGAAAATAAAACGTAAAAGAATTTTTAAGATACAGAAAATTTCACCCTAAACTACATACATCATATATACATACATATGTACGTACGTGAAATAACATGGAAGGAGAGAAAAAGTAGATAGAAAAAAGGATGATCAGGAAAGCTCGAGAAATTTTGTTCTTTTCAAGAAGCATCAATTGAATTATAAACATATATATAAACATATATATGTGCATATATCAAGAAAGATAACATTTATCAATGTGAGAAGACGATCGCACGACGAAAGAGAATTATTTTCCATTTGTCATTTTATTGTCGTTAAAATGTATTACTTTTATTTGCACTTAAATTTTGTCCACGTTATTGTCTATTATAGTAATAATAATAATAATAATAACAACAATAATCAAATTCAGCTATATGTACTTATCGTTAGATAAACGCTTGTGCAACCTGCTTTTTCGACAATGGCATACGAGTATAATAATTATTATCATCTTCCTATAACTAATTTTATTACTATCATTATCATCATCATCATCATCATCATTATTATTATTATTGAATATTTTTGATAAGTATCGACAATATTATTAGCTTTGTCTTCGATCTTTATCACTTATATAACCATATTTTCATTTCATTTCTCTTTTTTTTATTTCACACTAAAATTCTGTCATTTTCCATTTAATTTGATTACTTATCGTATATCTGATGTAAATCAATTTCCAATCTCTCAGTTCGCAATCTTATACGTGACACAAGATGAAAATAATATCTATTGCACTCTCTTTTTTTGCTACTGATTTCAAAGTGATGTACACATAACATATGTAGAATTATATGTCAAAAATTGATTTTTATATACGTACATACAATTATTATATCATGTATACGTAGGTACTTATGTTTATGTAAAGCTAATTATTATAAAGCGTTTTCTACCGAGTGTATCGATGACAGTAGGGCAGAAAAATAAAAAATTAATGAATTAACGTCAACTCTCTTATGTATATTACAATTATATATTTATCTCTAATTAAATATAATGAAACATATTCTTTTTATAAAATATACGCGTATCTCTCTTTTGAATAAACATTTATTATTCTATTTGAATTTATATTTGAATTTATTTGAAATGCTTTCCTACTTGTGTCGGGTTTACGATGAAGCTCGTAAAGCATACAATTATTGCAAAACAATTATTTGCAAGTTTAGCGTATTGCGAATTCTGCATCGGTACACTCTGTATTTATAATATATATAGTATATAATAAATGTAAATATATTGTCACGTTTAATTATTATCATCGTCATCATTTTGACTATCATTTTTCGAGCTATATTTGTATTATCTCTATGTACTTATTTGTATGCATATATTAATGCATCAGTATTATTGTTCGAACAGCATTAGAACTTATCCTAGATATTTCCTATAATAATTCTTACAATCAATGTTACATTATAGAATGAATTCATTATATTTTTTTTCCTCAATCTCAATCCCCATTACTATCGCCCCATGTTTCATCAAAGATGAAACCGCGTGTTAAACTTTAGGCCGGTTACTACTCCAATGTATTAATGGTGAATATTACATATAGTACAACTCTTAACGAAATAATGTTACTGAAATTTTTCTCTTGCCACGATTACGATATCATCTACATATTTGCAATTACAAAACCAATTTGTTAACATGAAACAATAGCTAGCAGCGAATCTCGTGTTGGGAAGGAAAACGTATCGCATTGTCAGCTGATATTTGATACAAATTTTCTTTCGAATAAAAAATCTCAAAAGAAAAGATATATCTAGCATTATATTATATTGAATATTATTGTCAGAGAAAAGGGGACGACGTAATCGTGGCTCCTATTGTAATATTATCAGCACAGTCTCTCTATCATCGAAAAATGTCATATCCAAGCGAGATATGCATATACATATATGTTTGTATATATATGTATATCTATATAAGTGTATATTTAACGCGCGAATGATATCCCCACATATATATATATATATATATGTAGAATAATTTGATATAGTTATCAAACGTATATATGTGTGTATAACATTAAATAGAAATATTTCATTAAAATCATTCAATCGTTTTTCGAAAAATAACGTATGTTTTTGATCAAATTAAATTGACGACTTAATTTAACACTTAAAGATTTAATAGATGCAGGAAACGAACGATTCGAGTAGTCGTAACCGCATTTTTACTTTTTCGCTTTTTTCCCCGATGCCCCGGTATATTGTCCTAAGTAGCAATAACAAATATCCCACAATAAATCCTAATCTATTCTCAAAGTGTTGTTCTGTTCATTAACATGTGTAACGTATTACTAGAAAATTCGTCATTATTGTCGACACATTGCAAATCTCATACAGATATTAATTATTACATCGACCACAATTAGTCGGATATATATATCAAACATATTCTACATTTGCTTTTTTCCTCTCTCCTCCCTCTCTGGAAAAAGAGAGAGAGAGAGGAAGAGGAAGAGAGAGAGAGAGAGAGAGAGAGAGAGAGAGAGATATTTTCCGATATATAAATACCTAACAACATACATATATGTTTCTACCACATTTGACTTTTAAATTTAAACGAGATTTAAAACGAATTATAAATCTTTCTAATCTCTACGACAAAAAACATTTGAAAAAAGTGGATAAATATATAAAACAGTATCATACGCGTTAAAACAAAATTCTAACGAAAGTGTAAAATCAGAGGACATTAATCCCGGTTATGCAACGTTTGTCATATAAAGCTCCGGTTAATTTTAATTAACACGATTTTCTAACACGAGTATTACCACCCGCTCATACGTATGTATATTACTCCCATTTGGGATATAATTATTACAATTGTTAACGACGCCTATTTGTCTCTATAAACTCCCTCGTTTATAATCTTTTTTTTTTTTTTTTACCAATACGACTTATGAACAATTAATAATAATAATAATTATAATAACAATAATAATAACAATGCATATACGTGTATATATTATGTGTTTGTTGTTGTGTGTCCTGCGTATGTATGTGTATATATATGAATTTATCATCTCATTGGATTTACATAGGATATCTATATAGACAAGTGTCATCTTAAAAAGGTCTCGCATAAATTGACTAATTTTTTTTAGATTTTCGAGCAACGAAAAGGAGGCTGTTCGATATTTTACACACCTCCCGCTTTTCCTTATTTATCAACACACATGTATTTCTATGTGTATATGTATACGTTTATGTATATATGTATATATGTATATGTATATTGTGAATTATTACGATTCGCCCCGCGAAACGATGCAAATAGATGATCCTTTTCTTTTTATATCCACATAATCTATTACTTATTCTTATTCATTCCTAATTTGTGATCAAATACGATCTTAACAGTGCTGGGTATACGTATATACGTTAATTATGCGTGTAAGTGTATATACATGTATCTTTATAATACACTTGCAGTAAATTCGGATGGCGCGATACAAGTTATGTTATTTTAAGAAAAAGGGGAGAAGGAATACAAATGTTGATACTAATTGAAAATTGCAACATGAATTATATAAGAAAATGTTGTTAAATAAAATGATTAAAAGAAAATATTTGTTTGTTTCTCTTGGGAGAGTGAATGAACGTTACATTTTGAAAATTACGCGAGTAATTCATTACAGGTACTTAGGAAACACCCTGCGTATATACATTTATAATTATGATCTCGTGTATATCTATATACGTAGAAGGAAACATGTATATATCCATATATATATATATATATATATAATATCAATAGATAATAGAAATACATCTAAACCATGTATAATGTATAACATATTTTTCTTAATTTCACAATTAAACATTATCGGTTTTTACTTTCAATTAATTTACTTTCAATTAATTTACTTTCATCGTTTCACTTTGTTAATTTTTATTATTTCTTTTTTCATATATTAATCTGAATTTAAATAGTACTTTGATTGCGTTTTTAATCTTACTATAACGCTATTACTTTCAATATTATTATCACTTTCTTGCGGATACTTTCTTTCATTCGAACTTTTTTATACACGCGTTGAGAACTTTCTCGCGTGATTATAGACGAGAAGATTCTTTTGTTTTAATTAATATCCATATCGATGAAAAAATGAATCTTTCTCTTATTTATTGCTATTTATTCTACCATCACGTGACGACGATTATTTTCATTCGTCGGTTTATAAAGAGAGATAGAGATAGAGAGAAAAATGAATAAATACCTAAAAGGTTTCAACGATTGCGTCTCATTAGTCGCAACTGTTGACAAAAATTTCGACTTTCTTTTTTTTGTTTTGGTTTTTGCTTTTTTTTTTCCTGCAAATTTCGCCGAATTAGATATATCTATGTATTTGTCTTTTTCGCGTAATCAATGAATCAATCAATCAATCGATCACTAATGCATACACACCTATAAGGGTATATTTTTTTTATTAATTATTGTCGTAAAATCAGCTTATTGTCGGCAAAAAGATTCTTATTGTCTTCGCTTTGATATCAAAGCGTTTGCCTATACGTAGATAACATTAATAATTGTTAACGAAAAGAGATATTTACTTCTCTTTTCTTACTTTCTTTTTATCATTAAAACGATATTTCTTACCCGTTAAGCTTGAGTTTAAATTCAGCTTAAACTCTTCGCAAAATTCTTCCTAAACTAAATAAAGTTTCAATAATATTGTCTTGCCCTCCCCCTCCGTCCCCTACACTCCCCCCCCCCACGAACAGTTACTTTAATAAATTATTTCTTTTTGTATTCGCAATAGCGAAATACTTGTAAGAAGTTTCATTCTGATTATAAAATGGTCAAATTTGAATCTATTCGCACGCAAAGACTTTTTTTTGTTTGTTTTTGTTTAAAGAACATCGACGTTTTCTGTATCCTATCCCTTTAGGTATACCACAACTTCTTAATAATTAAGAAAAAAAAAATATTAGTTACAGTAATTTTTTCATCTAACATAAGATTCGCGTTTGCGATTATGAAAGAATTATGCAGTGAACGATAAATGAGTAGAATAAATTTTGGGACTTTCAAACTATACTCCCATTCTTTCCTATTTCTTTTTTCTTTAGTCAGGAAATGGCGACTCACGCGAATAAATCTTTCAATTCCATTGATTCTGAGTAACGTCGTGCGCGTAATCGTCTCTAACCGGTGGCTGGACCAAAGTCGTGTTTAAATCAGTGGCAAAGGGATTCGTCGAGTGGAAGGGATTGTTACTATTTGTTTCCGTCGATCCGTAACTTATAACAGGTGTCTTCTCTTGTTGTTGACCGTACGTATGATCGGCAGTAATCGACGATTGAGAATAATCGTTCCAATCATCGGTAATGGCTGGGTTTGTGCCATTTCCGAGGGACGGTTGTTTCTGAATTAACGTGTGTATATATATATAATGCCATTAAGCGCAAGTATAATTAAACTTAATGTTAATATTAAATAATGAATAACTCACAATAAATTCGGACTGCATTGTTGCCGGCGGCGGTGGTATTGGCGGTTTTGTCTGACTAAGTTCATTCATTGGATTCCAAGTTTTCTGTTCTTCGGCCGTAGAATCGGCCCAGGGTTGCAGTTCTCCGGAACAAAATATGGCGTAAAAGATTACCCCAAAAAAGTGAACGCAGGCGGCAATGATAAAGACGTTTCTCCATTCTTCGGCAGCCTAAAACGTTTATTATTTTTAGGAATGAATTGAACGTTTTACTTTAATGAACCGAAACTCGAACCGAAAATCTTCCCCCCCCCCCCACCCGGATTTGATTTGTAATCGTGGTGCACATATGAAATTTTGTACTAACCTTATTTTTCGTAATGTTATCGACGAAAAATGGTACCAGAAGGCCAGCTATCGTTCCGATACCGTTAGACATTCCCATCAGAATGCTCGCATATTTCGGTGCGATATCTAAATGATTAACGTTGAAGCCCGAAATGGCAAAGCCACTGCAGGCGACACCGAAAATAAGAGCAAAGTTCGCCGCTGTGCCATTCTTGTGCATGGTTGCATTAGCGACAACCAGAAAAAAAATCGCCTCCATACCAAATCCACCGCAATTAAATAGTTTTCTGACGTTGGTCGTTGACATGATGCCACGTCTACGAAGATAATCCGCCAATAAACCTCCGCACGGAACGATAACTGTCATCATCAAATGCGGGATTGAACCGACCATGCCAGTCTGATGGAAAATAATATCTTACATTAGTTTATTTGTTCGTTTGTTCGAAAGAAAGAAAAGAAAGAAAAGAAATTCGCAAATACAAGATATACAATAGTTAGTATAAAGTAAGCTCTTTGTAATGAAATAAGCGCAAAGATTCTCTCGAAATAAAAGCGAGCGAATTAATATTGAAATTGTTAACTTTGAGAAGAAGCGTTAATAATAACTCGTAGGTACTTCGACGAGCGGGATATTGAAGGCCTCGTGTATGAAGCGTGCTTGAAAAAGGACCAAGAGATAAAAGTTCCAGGATCGGCAAAAGTTAGCGACGATTATCGCGTGGACCGGCATCGATGTGAAAAATTTTTTCCATGGCGTCGTTGAAAAAGTAGGTATCGGTGCTGTGGTTTGTCCTTGACCTAACGAATCCTCGATATACCGAAGCTCTTTCGTAGAAATCGAAGGATGCTTCGATGGTTTCTCAAAAGCTAACCAAAGCCAGAAACAGTACCAAATTAAACCGGCGATACCTAAAATATGAACATTCTTGTTTTACCTAGAAATAGTTGAAGTTGCTAACTTGATCTCGGATTCAAACGAAATAATGACAAAATAATGACAAAATAATGACAAAATATACCATAAAAGTAAAATGATGCAGTCCAGCCGAACCAATGACTCAATAAACCGGAAAGCGGCATTCCTATCACCATCGCTGCGTACGATCCACAAAATGCCAAGGTAGCCAATCGTGATCTTTCGAGTGGTGGCGCCCAGAATTTCCAAATACCATGGCAGGCTGGATATGTAACACCCTGAAAACAAAATCAAAATATCCTAGTACGTTTATTAAGTATCTAATTAATAATATGTAGGCTTAGAGAGTAGGTATATACACGTAGGTTAATGAGAGAGTTGGAAGAATTAATCATACCTCGACGAAACCTTTCAAAGCTTGAACGATCATATCGACGATCGGATCGACTTTGAGAGCACCAGGCACGAGAAGATTCAAGAATGAAGATATCGCGATAGCCATGCCAAATATTCTATTGGCGGGGTAGAGGGACGCTAGAAATCCACCCGGCACTTGTGTTATGAGATAACCCCAAAAGAAGGACGAGTCCATGGCACTTTCCGTTGCGACCGTCCAATTAAATTTGATCTGTTCACCTGCCTCGGTCGTATTTTTCATCACCAATTTTGCCATTCCCATGTTACACCTCATGCCAAATGAAATAACGAATCCTGAAATCGAATCGTTTTTCTCTGTAAGTTTCCTCTGTCAGCTTTCTCTGTCGTGGGAGAAAATGTATGAGTAATTCACCTAAACAAGCCAGTACGGCAATGGTGTATCTCTTGGACAGACAGGGGCATTCCGGTTTGCAATAAGTATCGATATGTCGTAATGGTGGTCTTGCTGGTTCTGGGAGTGAATCGAAAGACGCTTGTCTGCTGTATCCCCGCTCATCCTCGAAACCTCTGTTGTCTTTGCTTGCCTCTGGAGGCATCTCGAATTCCTCATAGCCGGCATTGCTCCTTCTAAATCTATATCTATATATATTTTTTGTTTATTATTTCAAAGGAATTCTACCTTGTTTCTTTCGACAAATATTTCAATGCCCCAAAGAATAAACATCGAAGACAATCATTATCTGTAAGATTAATTTCATTCATTTTTCTTAAGGAACATTATTTGACATTACCCAGAAAATTTTTCCGACGCTTTAGATTTGAAGGAATCGAAGGCCACAAGACCCGCCGCCGCGAATCCAGACATTTTCCAATTATTGACCTTGCTCCAGGATTATTTCCAGTTGTTGCGTTGTGTTATATTTGACGGCAGTCCCACCCTACAGTGGCCACAATTCACATATCATTTGTTTTTGCGATACGACGAGTTGTCGCAGAATAAAAATCTGAACAAATCCTCGCGGGGAGATTCCCCGTAGATATTTTTCATTTAAATATATTTATTGTCGTCACGTGCATTCTCTCGTCGCGAATAATGAAAAAATCAGAATATTTGATTAATTAAACGAACGCGACAGTTTTATAATTACTCGAAGAAAACAGATCGGAAAGAGGACTTTCAACGATTATATCCTGTTTAATGCGTATTCCTATTAAATCTCTTTTATCTATCGATATTATAGTAGAGAAATATATAAGGGTGGAAAAGTACGGGAGTGTAGGGGTGTTTATTTGGAGTGGCAGTCTCTCCATCCGTAATCCCCGAACTCTCGGGGGAATCTCTATCTTGAAGGGACCGAATAAAAGAGAGAGAGAGAGAAAGAGAGAAAGAGAGAGAAATAGAAAACAGCCCTACCGTACGTTTCTCGTATTTCTCACTTAAATTCTTAGAACTCCGTTTGTCCTATTTTCATCTGATCTCTATGTTTTAAAATAATTTCAAACATAAGTATAGAATAACAATCTTGATGATTTCATTGAAAAATTATAAAATATCAATACGTACTGACATGTGTACGTATATAATAAATATGTATGAGAAATAAAGTATCGATTGCCACGTGATAAATTACGTAAAGGGTTGGTTGCTCGCGCGCCTTCCAAATCGATGGATACTTTTTGTTCAAATCGAGCCTAGCTAGTCTTGTTTTTGACAAAAGGTAAAAAAAAAAAGAAAGAGAGAGAGGGGTGGGGGTGTGTGGGGAAAGGAAAAAGTCACGTGACGCAATGATCGAGAAATGATCTTGGAAACGAAGGTAGAAAGATGATTAGAAGGGTGCGCCAAAAGATGAAGAGATAAAAAATGAAATAAAAGGCAAGGAACGCGAAAAAATGACAATCGGATATTAAAACGGCACGTGACGAACAAAAGGCATTAAATGCACAGCACGTGTTAACGAATTAGGGTGGAACGACGTTGATGGGAAACGCTGACTCAACTCTTAAATGGACACTAAGCATCCTCCATGTCGATAACTACTTCATCGAGTCTTTTCTTCTCTCTTTGATCGGTTTTATCGATTTCTCTTTCGTGACCCCTTCTTGCTTTCATCGAAAAGACCAATCGGGGAAAAAATGATTCGATCATCGGTATTATTGTTTAAAGTTAATATATTGATAACCGATGCTTGTCTAATTTTTCCTAAATTGAACACATTTGTCTTGTCCTAGGCCTGCAATCTTGGTATATAAAACTTCAATTCCATTGGAAATAGTATTATCACAGAGTACCTCAAAATGTTCACTTACCCCCGTATATAATAATGACTGAAAGAAAAGGATAAAAACTTAGGGGGGGCAAACATAAAGATCGATGATATTTTTTCAGAATAAAGAATCTGCCAATAATAAAATCACTAAAGAAAAAACACGTCACTAGAGATACCACCCACCACCGATCATAAACTCCACTCTTCACTTGTCGCGTTAACACACGTAAAAGAGACAAGATTTCTAATCACTATCGTCAATCTGTATTATTGTCATTTCTGTTAGGTAATAGAAAAAATAAAGCACAAAAATGTGATTATAAAATGAAGAAAAAAGTATAAGGGAAACTCACCAATAATGAAAAGTAGATATGGGCGCGAGTAGAGAGCAGGATGATGCGGGGTACGCGACGAAGAACGTCGTCGACGTTGCTTAACTCCGCCACCACCAGCACCACCACCACCACCACCACCAGAACCACCACCAGAACCACCACCACCACCACCGTTGCCACCGTCGACGCCGCCGTCGTCTTCGTCGTCTTCGTCGTCCTCGTCCTCGTCCTCGTCCTCGTCGTTGTCGTCGTCGTCCTCGAGGAATAGATTTGAAACAGCGCATCTCGATGAGGTCGGCCATTCCCATTGGGTGCCAAGCTAGACGCATCGATATCACTGGCCAATCGGCTTTATCCATCGACCCCACTCGTGGCCACGGCAGGCGGAGCTTATTCCATCCCATCTCTCTCAACCACCCCCACACTGGCATGGGAAAACCGTTTGCAACAACAAAACGGCACGCGCAAACAACCATAGTAACGGTATTAACGACGTTCAACGATCGTGCCTTGGATCAAACTCCGATTGAACTCTATTTTTTCCTTAGCTTCTTATATTCGATATTTAAACAAGGGGGTTGAGCCATTAAATGTCAACGAATTCGTTTATTCAACACATTTCAATATGTAATTAGATTTTTTTTCATTGTCTATCATTAACGATCTTTAATAGAATTACGTTGAACGAGAGAGAGAGAGAGAGAGAGAGAGATAAAGTGATTCAATTATCAGCGATAACTTTTCTATCCTATATATTCGCGCGTTATACCTAACAATTAATTTTCTTGTTCTTTTTTCCAAACTTCCTCTTCTACCCCTCGTTAAAATATCGTTCGCTTTCGATTAAGTGATCCGAGTGATTATGCAAAATAATATTCGCCGTGATTAAGTATGAAGATGTTAGAACAATTGTGTAACAGTTGTTGCTCGTTACCGTGAACAAACAAATACATAACTCTCGCGCATACAATAACGTATTCTAACAAAATCCTATTTAATCCAATTTGACAACTCTTAAACGCAAATATTCCTTCTTTATAATTTGTCTTTATTATATTTGATTACATTCTAATAGAATAAACAATTTATTTGAGAACATTCATTTGAATGTAATAATATTTGAAGGAAATAAGGTCTGAAAGAAAGAAAAAATGAGTTTTGGCGGGTCGAATCCATCGCTAGACGTTAGAAGCCGACTCGCATTGTTACAAACAGAGGGTAAAGCGGCCGTGGCGTGGGCACCCTCTCCACGGTTGCCAGGAAATATCGATCTGCTCCAGAGGCTGGCTGCTATTCTCTGAATGGTAGTTCTGTCATTCTTTATCTTCGCAGTGGCAGTATCTATGACCCGAATAACTCGAATTTCACTATCATCGTCGTTGTCGTTGTCGCTGTTTTAAGATCCTTCTCGCGAATCACCCAGCGCGATTATTACAATTTATTCCTCAGTTATAACAAACGACCAACATCTCTCCTTTCACTATTGCCCATTAAAGAATATTTTATATTCTTGCAAAGTGCCACGTATTGTTCCAACTTTGTTCGAAAATCTATGCCAAGATCGTTGATAAATTTATCATCATTTCTGATTGTACTCGATAGATCGACCATCGTTCTCTTGAATTCTTTCGATTTTCTTCTAAGATCTTCTCCGTAATTACTTTTCATTTGAAAAAAGCATCGGGAAGGAGATTTAGATCTCTTAATCGATCCCCGTGCACTAATGGATAGATTATTATTCTTGCATTGTTTTGAGCATCTATTGCAAAGATCGTAGGGAAAATAATGATCGTGGCGAATTGGACCATTGAAATCGTTTGCCCTTCCTTTCTTTTCCTCGTTGTATTCTCTTTTTATATAAATAAAGTTCTTCTCGTTGGATAATCTTTTATCAATAGTCTCGCGTTGATTACCTCTACGCATAAATCTCCGTAAATTTAAACGGACAACGTTTTTCAGTCTGCGAATAGACCTGATGCCACTAAGATAAAAGGATTCGCAAAAACTCTTTAAAATCGAATTAGAGCTTACGTTATTTTGTATTCTCGACGAAAGATTTTCATGCATTCGATTATAAGAACATGTCCAAGTATCACAAGTGCAAACTCTCGAACAAGGATTTTTATATTTTCCCTCGTGAAATCTTTTCTCGCAATCATTTGTTAAAAGTAAACGCTTTGACTCTTCTTTCGAAAATATTTCGATCTTCATTTTTCTCGATGATTCGTCATTAGGGAATTTCTCCTTTTTTAATTCTTTCTTCGAACGTGATATTTGTACGGCTATGTTAACGGTAGGAACAATAATGCTCGTCGAATTTGCCCTACCATTGTTTTTTCTCGACATCGGACATGGGACTTGATAATCTTTCTTCTCTGAAATATCGAGTAATGAAACACCCATCATCGCGGATGCAATTATTGATGCATTTTGCGCTTCTTCAAGCTTTTCTTCGTTTATCAGGTTGACATTAGATGCAGCATCCTCCTGATTTTCTCTTCCCGCGGAAAATAAAGAAGAAACTTTGGAACAGCAAGAACACTTTGAGTCACAATCAAAGTTTAGTTCATCTTTAGAAAAGATTTTCTTAATCGTTAAACTATTATCCATGATGTTGTCATTTTCTTCGTTACCAACTACACGAATGATTTTTTCGGTTTCTATGTTGCAATAACTTTCACTGCAAACGTCTTTGATAATATTAGATACCTCGCTGATCTGCTGCCCTTTTCTTACTTCCTTAGTCGAATTTAAGATTTGATCTTTGTTTTTGGAAATATTTGACGATGAACAGTTTTTCTTCTGGAAAATACTCGAATCCATGTTAATCCGCGATGATTGGGCGATCGGAGTGTCATTGAAAGATAGGCAAGAACGCTCCTCAGAAGTGGTACAATCGAATAAAATTTCTTCGAGTCGTTTTCCTGCTCGACCGGACAAACACCTCGACGACAAATGATCGCTTATATGTTCTACCAACGATTGCTTTCTTCTTTCATCGAGAAGAATTTTTGGTGAACTCCTATTAGTTTTGGAAATGATATCTTTGTCGTCACGCTCGTGCATCGGTACTCGGACTCGGTGGTTGTTAAAAATTAAACAGGATCTCGTCTCGTGACTTCTTCTACCAGTCAATTTGAAGTTGACGTCATTTCTACGAATGTCGAAAATCAAACGTAGTTCCAGACTAGTACTTTTGTTGAATAATTTTCGATTGACGGCGTTTAGACAAAAGCAAACATTCAAGAGACACGATTCATGGAAGATCGGATCGAGCCTGAAAATCTCCCTTGTCATTAGGTCGGCTTTAAAAGCCAAAGCTAATCGAGGTCGTCTTCTTATCTTTGGTTTCAACAAGACCATACGAGGGCGACAACGACGATGACGATGATGACGACGATGACGACGACGACGACTACGACAATTCCACGTAGAGTATTTAAACAAAGAAGCTGCTCCTCCTCCTAAATTGGCCCCTTTGAACCATCCTTCATTACATTCATTTTCCTCGCAAGGTTTTATCATGTTGGAAGAATTTGCCAATAGACGCGAGTCCTCGTTGCACGATGTGTTTTGTGGATTCTTTGGAGTCTGCAACGACAATTCAATACTTACGGTCCGATCGATTTTTTCGTTGCTAGGAGAATCATAAGTAGCTGCTCTTTTACAAACACCTCCGTGCCGTGAATGGGTGGATGCTACCGATGCTATCATACTTCCTAAGATCATTTCTATCATGAAATCGCGACAAAGATCTTCTTTACTTTGTCCCATCTGTTTTTTTCTCATTTTACCTCTATTTCTTTTTTTTAATAAACTGTCAATGAAGGAAGAACTTTTGTTAAATATTCCATGCCACCAATAATTATCGTAACCTATATCAATGATCATTTTTTATCCTACAATATATTATTTTCTAATTTCCATTTGTAATTTACCATATTCTATGAATTGCCATTATTATTACTTTAATTTGAATTATTAATTGGTTTACTTACACGCTATCTTCCTTCTCGTAGTCTCTCCTCGACAAGTTGAAATTATTAAAGACGTTCGGATCGAAACCCAAAGCGTCCAATTCGCGACATATCTTGATCAATCTATTGTTCAATATAATCGAATTGAGGAAGAAACCGAACAGTCCATCGTTGAATAAATATTTGATCGTGTACTTGATGATCCCCCGCATCGCATCGGCATCAATCTCTCATTATTTTTCGCGAATCGTTCCCATAGGATATATTCAGAAAACGAGCTAGTTCAAACATTTCTTCGATCATGAAGAACGAGCATCTCGGTAAATCAGCAAAGTCCTACGAATACATCGAATTCTTTAGGATTGTCTTGACTGTTAATCAACGTTTAACAAAATCATCGCGAATCTTATCTTTGATGCATAGGATAAAACCATCTAACGTATTGTAAAATATTTCAGAAACTTATCAAATGTATAAAGATGTGTGCTTCGAAGTATGCACCGTTACCCATTGGAAAATAAACAAGTTCAATCGATAGTCTAAATATCGATTAAGAATATGTAGATTAGTTCGATCTATATATTTTTCGCACAAACAAAGATACGATATTTATATACACATACTTAATATGATACCATGATAATATATCAAGGGTTTATTAAACACGTGCTGTGAGTATAATAAACTAGTTACGGTTGAACCACCTGACTTTGTTAACTCGGTGACTTGCAGTGCCAGCAAAATTCAGGGTCCACCGAATATGCTAATATGTTTTACGTTAAGTGCTCTGATGCATTGGCGCGAGACCCTTCATCTAGTGGGATTCCGATAGGGGTGAGAAAGAGAAAGGGGAATTTGAAACTCTTGAAAATGTGAAAGAAAAAGAGTAGGAGGTATGCTTGTACGTAGAAATAAAGAAAACGGAAAGAAGCCAAGTAGAATCGAGTAAAGGATGGAAAAAGATAGATAGAGAGCTAGTATTTCCGGAATTTTTCGGAGAGACAACTATATCCATAAATACATACATATATATATATATATATATATATATATATATACATATATTATACTTTATTCGCATAGTCTCTTCGCGCGGATCAATACTTGTGACGCCGCGATAGAGCATAATAACTACACGATGGCTGACATCATTAAACAATATATGTATACGTATTTGGATATACACATATGTGGATATGTATATTATAGATTTATTAGTAACGTATACCTGGCGTAAGGAGCGATGGCTCTTTATCCTATGCAGCTTAATAAGATTGTAATTAGTTTTAAGCATTGTCAATAATAGTGGCTGAAATTTCGCTCCGAAGCTTCGTTCTTTTATCTCGGTTTGGGTATACATAAAAGATTCATTTAACAGGGATTCATTTGATAAAAAGGGAAAGAGAAATATCAAAGGACCCTTCCGTTCTCATTACTGTCGATATATACATACCTAAACGTTCTTTAACGCAATTATAAGCTTGAAAATGCAATTCTTCTAATTGATTATAATTCCTAGGGTGTTTGTTTTGTATACCGATAGAAATCAATGATCTACTCTGTGTGTGTGTAAAATATTATCAAATCTCTGTTCCTCTTTCCCCCTTGTTCTATATTTTTCCAAGATCACTGATATTAAAAAGTTGTCGATAGAAGAGCTAAGTTGGAAATGAGAAAGAGATTTCAATATCGTTGTAGGCGTTGTTTGTTTATGCATTAATACATACTCGTTTTAGTTGAATTGCTAAAAAAGTCTATCTGCTCGTAATTTGACTTTACGAATGTGGGTTGACTAAAACATGATAACGGAACAATGCGTGGGAGTTAGAAGATTCCCTTTTCGCGATGCTCCCGTAAAATCGAAAGGATCAATACTTTGATACTGGGCAAGACCACTAAGGGCGCTCTCTTCTCGAGAATATCGTGAGTGCGGTTGACGTGAAAACTGGCAGCCATCGGGGAAAATATCTCGTCGAGGACCTCTTCGTTTGCTCTGTTCATCTACTTGGACCAACCATCCTGGTAATGAAAAGAACTTCTTCTATCTTATTTTCTAGCATACACGCGTAGATAAATTAAGAAATATTGTTGTTGTTCGATGAAAGATATTAAATATGGCGTGTTACCATTAATCAATAAATATCGATTAATCAATGTTTCATTATCATACACCGTTTTCTTCATTACAGCTTTCTTAGAGTATAATTACCTCTTCTCTTCTCTCTCTCTCTCGCTATGCCGCATTGTTTTCTACTTCTCTCGATAGCGGCTGCTACTCAGGCGTCGCTATATTTACAACCTACGATTCAGGTAAATATTTTTAATCTTGATTATTATAGATATAGATCTACCGCTAACGAGTTAATCGATTTCAATTAGTCAATCTATCGATTTTTTTAGGAGGATCGTCTTTGGTATACGAGTCTCCAAATTGTCTTGGACAGTTTAAACAAATTAAATGACGTAGTTGATTCCTACGCTGATTACGTAGATAATTCTCGATTGCCTGATGATTTTGATAAAGCCAAAGAGATACCGATAGATCTACCGGCTGATTACGAAGTCGTCGATACATTTAATCCTAATCCAAGTATTCGCGATCAAGAATACCTGCGACATAGTACTCTGTGGAGTCATCAGCACGTCAATGATTATTACAGGGGTAACGATAGACACAGGATGCAGGGTGCTGGTAGAATTAAAGGTGGAAATAATGAAAAAACTGAAAATGCATTACCTGCTTATTGCACACCACCAAATCCTTGCCCAATAGGATACACTAGTGAGTGATCCTTGTTTGTTTTCTTTAAGACGTCCACCCCAGTTAAAATAGGCTACCTGTAATTAGGTGGCTTGTTTTACGCGGTGTCATGATGACTTTTTTATATGCTGTTTATAAATTAACTTGAAAAAATTATACTTGATCTCAATCAGGTGAGAACAACTGTCTTGTCGAATTTGAGAACACGGCAACGTTTAGTCGTCATTATCAAAGTGCACAGGATTGCATGTGCGATACCGAACACATGGCAGATTGTCCATCTAATACTAATGAGCTTCCTGGTATGCGTATTTCCAATTCCGATTTTGATCGGATCGTCGAAGAATTTCGGGTAAGTCATTGAGTGTCTAAAATTCAATGTTCTTGCTTATTCGTGATTTTATTTTTAGGAAGAGAATCCTTTCTTCCAAGGAGAAAAATTACCAATAGCTGCAAAGAAAGGTATAAATGTAATTTACTAAAAACCCAATAATATATGGAAATATTATTTATCGAGTATCTCTACACTCAAATTTAATAACTCTATGTATTACGCTTGATGGAAAAATATTATATACGTATTAAATAACAAAATTATTATAATATATACTTATGTCGGAAAGAGAGAGAAAGGGGAAGATAGAGAAAAAACAAGTTACGTGCTTAAGTTATTCATTTGGTCTGCATAGATTATTACAATTTTTTTAAATATATGTGTGCATTAAAACGACCACACGAAAAAATGCTATTACCAAATCGAACAGTATAGTTCATTGATGTAAAAAATGTGTAAAGTATATATATTGATATATGTATGTATGTATGTATAAATAAGGTGTTGTATCGGGACGGATGGTTTTACATGTAAAAAGAAGAAACATTTTTTTCGTTTCAAACGATTCGTTCTATACATTTTATTAACAAATTTATCATGCAGTTTTATTTTAAATTCCATAAAAAAAACGAATATGATCTGACTAGGTACAAGATATCTTACATATCGCTCCGCTGCAAAGTTTCCACTACGATACTACTCTTGATAGGATATGAAATAATTGTGCGGAATAATTTATTATACATTCTCGATTTATACATATATAAACAATCTCGAGTCACGAGGAATTATGCCTTACTTAATAATAAATCTATATTTAGAATACATATGTATAAAAAACATAATTTTATCTTGCAAAGGAATAAATTCGTTCGAGAAATTGTTGATAATTCGACTCATTGCGAAAATATCCTTTTTTCTTCGAGATGTAACACACACGCGAGACAATTGCAGCTCAGCCGTCCGTCCTCGTTAAAATATTATTCCTTTTAATATGTTAACGATTTTAAATTAATTATTAATAATTATTCATTATTAATTATTATCTCGTTCCTTCATCAAATTGAGTTCTCTTTTCAATCAACTTAAAGTCGATTTATTTTCGACATTTTATTTAATATTTAAACTAATTGTTTATATACATTAATGATGTATATTTCTTTTAGAAAGTAATACTTGAACACTCACCATCGTCGATTTTTTTTATTCTTTAGAAACTATTCTTTCCGATCGATTAGATAGCTTTCTTATATCACATTTGAGCTGTTCGTTGGCTGTATCTCCAATTGATTTGATCTTTTTTATTACACTTTATACCGTTCATTTGCTTTTGTCAAGATCGTAAAAAAAACAAGAAGATACACCCACGCACGCACGCACGCACACACCAAAATATTTAAGTAATACTTTTAATAAATGAAGTTTCGCGTTTATATGTAAGTGTGTTTTGATAAATTATAAAAAAATATTAGTTTAAAAAGATACAAAAATAAGAATTATAAAGATTATGATATAGTCTTACTACTTTCTAAAACTTTTCAATATTGGATAAATATTAATTAATGCATCTCGTAATTCGGATCGATCTTTTGCACCTGCAATATAAAGTATGTTGATATATTGACAGATAAGTTAATAGAAAGATATATAATCTTTTAAATCTTACCAGTTAATACGATCTTTCCATTGACAAATATAAGTAACACTACCCTTGGCAAAACCATCCTATATATTAAACCTGAATATATTTCTGGTTCATAACTAGAGAACTGACCATGCTTGTGGTTTAAATTTTCTAATTTAATAGGAAATTTAAGATCACACGTAGCAACTATATTTTGTATCTTAAAATTATAAAATTTGACCTACAATGAAAAAGTATAATAAGAATATAATTAAAATATAATTCTATAAAAAAACAAAGTGCATACGCGTGCTTATCACCAACGTCTTACCGGAAAGCCCAATTTTTGTATAATTCTAGCAAACTTTCTTGCTGCTAAACAAGAATCTTCTTCGCTTCTAGCTCCAGTGCAGACTAATTTTCCAGAACGAAAAATTAAAGCTGTTGTTGTGGGATTACGGATTCTCATAATTAATCCTGTAAATCTTGCTGGATTATATTCTGAATTTCTAGTCCTTGTATTAATGTACATAAGTCTTAACTCTGTACCTAAGTTAACTGTAGAAACGACATTTCTACAATATACATAGCATAAGATTAAATATATAATCATTTAATAACAATACTTTAACGAATACTCTAACAAAGAAACATACTGTACACAAGCCTCTGGAATTTCTTTAATACTATTGGGAATATTAGGTACCATTGGATTCATGGTAGTCAATGGATTAACATTTTGAGACGTACTGGGCCGTGGCACGGTAGTCTGTAATCAACTTATCTTTATAAACCATTCTTTAGATAGAATGAACAGCTCAATAAATTTGTATGTTATAGCCTACCGATAATGGCGGAGCCATGCATATATCTTCTGTAATATTTCTCGCAGGAGTATTCAGTAGTTGTTTTAACTCGTTGTCGTCTTGCTCGGAAGCAGTCATTTTTCTTTATTGTTTGCAAACTAAAGACTTAATTAAAGGCACTTCTTAGAACACGTGGCTGACCGGTTTACAACTGTTACACCTGAAATTATTCTTGAAACTCGCTTCAGCAGTAGTCAATGGATGGCGCTACTTACTTCATCGAGCATAATAGAAACTAGACCATATTTTAATTGTAGAGAGATTGATGAAATGTTGAAAAACTTCTAAGCGCTCGTATCGATAAGCTACAATTATTAATAATTTTCACAAAAATATCAATCTTCTAATTTCATCATTATTATACATAGCAAACAGTTACCGAAAAAATACTCGATACGCATGCGTAGCACTAATATTTGTATCGATCAGCTGATTCGAGAAGCGGCAAATATAAAAATACATACATGTGTGCGTTGTTTGTCATTTGTGATTATCATAAAAAATTACAAATATCACATCTACATATATATTTCACTCTTTAATGATGTTCTCTTTAAAACTATTCGTTATAAACAAAATTATGCATCAGGCTTTGATACAAAAATATGTATCAGGCTTTGATGTCAATTTGTTGCCATTGACAACGTAACGTTTCGTTACGGTTACAGAGTTTTATGTTAAGGGTAAATGAAAATAGCACGTATTATCTTGAACTAGTGCAATTTGAAATCTCGTTCGTTGATATTTCTCTCTCTCTCTCTTCGAAAGAAAACCAAAAAAAATTACGATGAGTTCAATTTTTGGTGGTGAGAGTGGTGACAATAATGTGAATGTTATCATTTTCGATGCATCAAAGAATGGCAGAAAATTAAACGAGGAATTCAAAGTACTACAAAGGAAATTAAAACCAAAATGGAAATTGATCGAGTAAATAATATTCATCGACAATTTTTTCGGCACAAACGTGTGTTTCGCTTTCCAATTCCAATGTAATTTCTTGTAGAAACAACGATACAATCACCGAAGAATCACTGGCGAGTGGCAAAGTATTGGTACTTCCAGGGCCGAGAAATAAATTCACTGAAATAGAAATGAACACGATTCGGAATTTTGTCAACGCTGGCGGTAACGTTTTGGTGATGCTAGGTGAAGGTGGCGAAAACAAATCAAACACGAACATTAATTTTTTAATAGAAGAATTCGGAATAATGGTGAACAATGGTAGAAAATTATATGAGGTCGACGGGCCTTCGTTTTTCATTGTAAATATGTAACAAATTATTAATCATATCAACGTTTCAGACAGTGTGCTACGTATGAGCTATAATCAAACGTTACATCCGAAAGAGTGTCTCGTTTCTCAAGGCTTGTCGAACAAATCGATGTTTTTGAAGAACCACAATGAATATTCGTAAGACCATATTTAATAAAAAAAAAAAGCAAACGACATTTATTATATATTGTACATCTATTTATTCTATATGACCTAATCAATCAGAGATATCAATTTCCTATATCCATATGGTGCAACATTGAACGTGGTGCGACCATCGATGGTCGCTCTGTCAAGCGGCTCGATTGCTATTCCAATGAATAGACCTATATGTGCTTACTATTCTGGTAAAAACGAATCTGGTAAATTGGTCGTTTTGGGCTCGGCTAGAATGTTTACGGATGCCTATATCGAGAAAGAGAAAAATAGTGCCTTGCAAGAAATGATTTTTGATTTCTTCGATTCAAACGATACAACTGAGAAGGATTTTCAACCGGATGATGTCGATGTAAGTCTATGAAAAAATATTATTCAAAGAGGGAAATAGATTTTTTTAAATTTAATTTATACGAATATTTCAGTTTTGGGAATACAATTTTGTACCGGATATAACACAACAAGCAGATAATCCAAAAGTTTGTACGCAAGATCTCGACAATATCGACATTCCGCGAGAATATATGAAATTGTTTAAGCATCACTTTTACTCGATTAATTTGAATATGGTACCGGCTGCTATAAAGGCATACGAAACTTTGGGAATAAAACACAAACCATTGAGCTTAATACCACCTAATTTTGAGGCACCTCTGCCAGCCACTCAAGCATCGGTAAGAATTTTACGAAGATATTAATATGAGATTTACGAATTCGTTGAAAATAATTATTCTCAACGAATATGGTATTTCTTCCGAGGTCTTTCCACCGAGCTTTCAAGAATTACCACCACCAGCATTAGAATTATTTGACTTGGATGAAGCATTTAGCTCTGACTTATTAAAATTATCTCAATTGACAAATAAATATATGTCGACGAAGGATTTATCAAATGACGTTGAATTAGATCATTATATTAGAGAATTTGGAAGTATATTAAGGATAAGTAATTCCGATACACATACGGCCAATGAAGTATTGAATCATGTTTTTCAAAAAATTTGTAGCTATAAGACCATGCAAGATAGAAATGAATATTCTTGAAAAAAATACGAATAATAAAGCAAAAATTTGTGTTGCATGTAATATAAAAGGATTTTCTTGATAGGTACCGCACCCATACTTAGATTTTTAAATATTATATTTAGATACATACATAAGTATATCGATTAACAATCGATATAATGAAGGTATTCGATGCTGTCGGCCATGGAGTCTGCATACAAGGAGGACGATCGCCGTGTTATAAATGTGGGTACAATATTCACAATGAAAAGATGATTTCTATTGCCACTAGAGAGCGCGTCTAGTCGCTAAGTCTGATTTTTAAAAACAGTAATTAAAACAAAAACATCAAAGAAAACTATTAATTTCATTTGTTTTTATTTATAAAATCACATGTACTTAAATCTAAACTTAAGAACATCACCGCCGCCCTCGTGGATAATTATCGTACTCGATATTAGTCATTTTCAACAACACAAATTCGACGCAAATGCCTATCTCGATTGTCCTCCTTGTATATAGCTTCGTTATGCCGGCCTTCAACTTGCCGACTGCATAATGCATATGTATATGTGTATCTTTCAGGCAATTCATTTGTTATGCAATTTTGTCCTAAACAAATTAAAGATTTGCTGGACCCTAACTATGCGTTCAAAGCTTCATATTATCTGTTATCCTTTTTATTTTATAAATAGTATACGAATTGTGTTACGGAATGCAAGAAAAAACAATTTATATGATGTTTAAAAAATCACAACATATGTATACAACTATTCATAGGTACATTATGTATATATTATGTATATATGTATATATAATTATGAAGAGAAATACTTTGGCGCCGGGTTCGTGTAGCAGTAGTAAACTATCTGATGCGAAGAAATGTAAGAAAAGATGGCAGCACCATACGCATTATAAACATTGCATCTGTTGTGCATTTTTCTTGATAAGTGATCCAAAATATTGTTGTCTGTTTTAGATTTTAATGTAATGAGTTACTTAACGTTGGTAACGCGTCCTAGATATTTTAGCCTTAAGCGTAATAGAAAGAGGTCGATCCTCAACCCAAAGAGTCCTAGTAGCATCAGTTGAAAAAATAGGTCGTTACGCAGAAAGACAGTTGAAAGATAGTTCACATTAAGCATCTTGTGGCCAATCTTTCCGTAGATTAATTGCATTATATATATATTTGGTTAATCCCACAAACGTGTATATAGTGAAACCAGAATGTCAGTGTTCTTCGTGAATACGTAAGTATATATATACATATACGTATATGTATATCAATATATATATATATATATATATATGATATGGTGGCTTAATATTGTGTGAGGTTATATTTAAATGATATTCTTTTACTAATAAATAATACTAATATAATATACTTGTCGCATGTTTCTGTGCGATTCATGAATTCCTATAATAAAAAATCTATAAGATTTTAATCATATTACTATACTCTGATTTTTACATATTTTGTAGTAATCAAGATAGCGAAGTTGAAGGAGATTCCAATGGTGATTTACAAATTGCATCGCCTGGCAGCTCCGAAGCCCAACAAAATTTAATACAATTTTGGCCAAAAGTTACAGAAGAAATAAAAAAGATTAGAACGGTAAGAAAATTTGTTTTAGTTGAACGATTAAATGCATCTAGCAGAATTCCTAATTGTAAGTTTTGATATAATTCTTTTGATTCTCAGATAGATCAAAAGACACAATCGCTACCACTGGCGAGGATAAAAAAAATAATGAAATTGGACGGGGATGTTAAAATGATAAGTGCGGAGGCTCCAATGCTTTTTTCTAAAGCAGCAGAAATCTTTATTCATGAGCTAACTCTTAGAGCGTGGGTACACACAGAAGATAATAAAAGACGCACACTTCAGAGAAACGATATAGCAATGGCAATAACTAAATACGATCAGTTTGATTTTCTTATTGATATTGTTCCTAGAGATGAACTTAAACAAAGCAAAGCGCAAACAGAAAGCACAGTCCGCACATCTATGAACTCGGATCAAGTACATTATTACTTTCAATTAGCACAGCAGCAAGCTTCGGCAAATCAAAATGTACAAAATAATGGTACGGCGACTCAACCTATACAAATTGTACAACCCTCCACAGGGCAAATACAAACAATAAACATTGGTAGTCCAGTTGAACAGGTAATTTCTTTTGTGTTTATTAGATGCTACAACGAAGCGAACGTAGCAATATTATTGTTAATATAAATATTTCTATCCTTCATTTGAATAATTTTCTCAGGAGACATCGAACACGAGTACGACTCAAACCGTTACTGTGCAGAGTCCACAACAGTCTTCGGGTCAACAAATAATCCAATTACAACAGACACAACAAACTCCAACTTCTCAGACTGGAGGAATTCAAATAGTACAACAAATTGTAACTCCCACTGGAGAAATTCAACAAATACCTGTAACTATACTATAAAAGAAGATAAGCTTATTATACCAGAGATCTTAAATGTAACTTTATTGATATTCTATATTTTGATTATTTTCTTCAATTCATATATTCAAAATTTTTACAGATACAATTGACTCCCCAACAACTGCAAATGATACGCATGCAGGTTCAAGGAGGTAGTAATCAACCTATCATAATTCAAACTGCTCCCATTCAAACTCAACCTCAGCTCATACAAGTCGCGCAGGGTGCACAAGCACCAGTTTTCTTACAAACCAGTGCTGCTGACAACGAGTAACACAGTAACGTATAATAGTTTTAAGTAATATTACTTGTTTGCATTAAAATTTTGAGATATTTACGTTACTTCCGGAACAAACGACTGTTGTTTCAAAAATGATATCTACGCTACTTACCTATTATTATCGCGTTTTCTTATTCGCTGTGTAATAATATGGAAGATAAAGAAGTGATAAATATCTTAAAAATCTCATCCGCGGAAGGAAACTTTCCTATTATTAATTATTATTAATTAACATCAAACGTCGTTACGTCAGAAATTCCGATGCTTCGTGTATACCTATTTCTACTGCAACGTATCAAATGACTCATTTTTTAAAAGTCATATGTTGTTTAATGGTGTATGTATAGTATAAAATATTTGTCTATCTTTTTCATGCAATAAGAATTTTTGACTCACAAAATAGCACACTGTAACTTATAAGAAATTCTACCAGAAAGTTAAAAAGAGTCACGACGGGTCCGCCGTTAATATTAAAATTTAGTGTTAATACTAGGTGAGCTGTTATGAGAGTGAAAATCATTACGACCAACAACAGGGTACTCATTAAAAAAAAAAGTATTATTATAACAAAGAATTAATTATAATTAAAGGGGGTACCGCTAACAGGTTAAATGATTAATATAAAATTGTATGATAAAAAATAAAATCTTTTATAAATTATTCCTAACATTTTAGAGAGAGATCCTTTTATCGTTTTTACCCTGGTGTCTCATCAAACCTGGTCGTAGGTGTGTCCACCGACCCAGGTGGAAACAATTAAAAAAGCTTATCTATTAAGTGATTTGAATCGTTCGTAATTTTTTATTGGGTATTTCTTCAAGGACGATCGAATATCGCTAGCGCGTTATAAGATGTCTCTCGAAGGGTTGTCACTGAAGTGAAATGAGGTGAATTGAAGCAAGGTAAGGTGAAGAATAAAGATAAGCAGCGAACGCAAGATGTAATCTGATTCGTGCGTCGCGTTTCTTGGCCGCTGACTGCCTCGCATGGTTGAGCTTAGGACTGGCTGGTGCAACTTGTATTATGTTTCACGTTACTGTGGTTCTTGTCTGGTAAATCTTGAGACTCCTTATTTTCTTTGACGATCTCGTAATATTGCACGGCGATCAAATAATAATCTATACAAATTTATAAATACGGTTAACTTGGGTACTACGTACGTACGTAGGACATTGGTTAGGAAAAGATTAGAGTTTTCGGAGTAAGAGATCGATCTCGTGAGAAAAAGAAAGGCAAGGCGCATATAAGAAGTACATATATCTATAAATGTTTGTAATATCGCGGAAAGAAGGAAAATCCCAAAAATATAGGAAGTTCGATGGGGGAGTAAATGAAGGAGAAAAAAGAGGAGGTAAATGATGGTTTGCGTTTACTATTGTAGGCGTTGACCCTCCAGACTAACGGAAAAGAAAAAAATAGTAGAAGAGAAGAGAATAAAAGAAAAAAAAAAAAGAAGCTTCTATTAGCACGGAACAAAGATGTACTCCACACATTTAGTGACGTTGGCCGAGCATAGTCCTCGGTGGTCGTCAAGGATACGAACCAAATGCGCACGCAACGTTGCGATCTCTTAAAAAGAAGGAGGAGAAGAGGGTTGAGAAGGATCTCGGAGGCGTCTGGAATACGCGCCGTGACGAGGCTCTTACATTAGAGCACTATAACAAGAGATATATTCCAACCAGGCCACAATCCTACGCCACTGCCTGGATACTCGGATTTCACGACATGTTTACAAAGATCCTAGAGATAAGTTGAGAATGGCCGCCGTACAGCCCCATGCCTCCTACAGCATGGGTGTAAGGTGACAGCTGCCTGCGCCTGCGTTATGCTTGCACACAGGGTGTCCGAAAATTAGCCGGCCGGCCGGCCCGAGGACCCTCGTAAATCACGAGTTCGCGCCACATGATTGACCCGTTAGAGTAACGCCTTCTAACTTTAGCCTAATTGAAATTTCCATAACTTTTTCTTCCTTCCCCTTCCTTTCCATTTATTCGAATATTATTAAAATCGTTTGTGATCCTTCTTTACACTTGACTCGATTCGAGACATCGACGATAGTTTTCTACGAAACTAAGCGAAGAGTTAAAAAACTGGTTTGGCGATTAACAGGCCGATAACCGACGCAATCATTTTAATCCGCTCCCTCGACGAACAAGAACGTCGTAAAAAAACGTTTATACATTTCTACGCGATAACGATCAATGGATTTTGCCGATTTTTCTTTTATCTATTCGCATACGTACATATATTATATGTATTTGTTTCTTAAAAAACCGGGACACCCTGTATAACATGGCGAACGCGCGCGTTCGTGCTCGTCTTCTACTCTCGTCGATGTTCTCCAAAGTGTTCTTGTGTGAGAATGTGTTCCACAATCCGCTCTCCCACACAAGAATATAAGAGGGAGAGAAAGATATGTCGTTTACTTAGTTTGTTCTCTACGAGCTCACCTTCCTAAGAGCTTCATGCATCTGCATGTAGAAATATTTTTCCTGCTTACACGTAGATACTTGTGCAATCAAGTACACATATATATATATATATGTATACGATGCCATCGAGAAATGTGACGCGAAAAAATTGGACATTATTTTTCTTTATTTTCTTTTTATCCTCCCTATATGATGAAATCGCTGATAATACGAAAATACTCGGATACGTACGTAAGTCGGTATATAAATACAAATCCCACATTATATAATATTATAAATGTTATGCGCCAGATTATCGATTTGATCATTCGTCGTACATTTGACGTACCAAGGAGGAAGACGACTTGGGGCGATGGTTCATGCATTTGCCTATTCTAAGTTTACACATCGTGCTCCTCCGCGTATTTTATGATAAATATATACAAGAGTTGGATCCGTGAGCTTTCTTCTATCAATTTCTAATCATTTGGACGAAACACTACGAGTTACTTTTGATTTGGAACTTTCAACTCGAGGGCTCGAACACTGTCTTGGGACAGGCGTGAAACGTGTATCTATCGAAAAACGTGCTTAGAATTTGTCTTTCCTTTTGAGAATTTACGAATTATCGTTATGTTAGAATAAAAATCTTGGCAAAATTTGGTATATCATGTATTCCAGTTTAACTTAAGAGTCGAAAACACGCGCACGCTTGCACGCACAAACAAACAAACAGACAAATTTGCACGTGCATTCGTACGAGTTAGACGAGTTAGACAACGGCGCGGACACGGGTCGATAATACGAAAATTTCTGACGCGCCTTTAGGAGAGAGAGAGAGAGAGAGAGAGCGAACACGTGCTGCCCTTTTGCACGACAAATAGGAATTATCCGAGGGACAAGAAAACGAGCCGCTTTCGTTGGGGGTTGCTGCTTCATAGCCGAATACTCGACAAAGGGAATTAGTATTTTCGCATAATGACGGATAAGTGGCAGTCAAAAGAATCATCCATTGACTAATCTTTTCCTTCGTTTTACTCGAAAAATATTTATTTGCCGCATTGATATGTGGCAAACATTTGAAATGATACGACATAACGAGAAAAAGTGAATCAGGAATTGCAGATATTATAAATGCACTTTTGTGGATATTCCTAAAAACCATGGTCGAGTCGTGCTATTGTAAGAGCACGTCATAACGCATAATAGAACAAAGTTAGGTGGTGAACTATATGCATTGCAAATTAGGAATATGTTAGCGCACGTCGTCCTTGGAAACTTTATGTAAAGTTTTCAGGGAAATTTGAGAATCCGTCTAACGGAGAACGCAGCAGCAATCCAGGACGACGATGGGGGCGATGTGTAAGTGATGGAAGCGCTGAAACAAAGTTCCTACCCCTATTTCGCTTCCTCTTCATTAACATAATCAAAAGACGCAGTACAGGTACAAGTTACTTATCTTTTCGAGAAGTTTTATTTTCAAATAGCGCTCAATATCGCTTAAAAACGATAAAGATGATAATGCAATTATCACTAAAATCCCCAATTCCATATGCGTTACTTATTTCATCGGCTTTATTTTAATCAAATATTTCTCCTTATCTTTTTCTCAATTGTCGTCGTACAAAACAAGATAGGGGTACGATGGGATAACTAAACAATTATTATTATTATAACTCGATATTTCATTATCAGATCGCATTGCGAGAGAAAAAGAAAGCCCCGAGAGTTTATTTGAACGAAAGAAGCTAACGTATCTCGACTCAAAGGCTCGCTTATCGTATACCGTGATCGATAATAAAAGAGAAGAGAAGAGAAGAGAAGAGAAAAGAAGAAAAGAAAAAAGAAAAGAGCCTTCTCTTTCTCTTTTTCCCTCGCACTTCCGAGAAATCGAACGTTATGACGCACCGACGGCGGACCACCTCCCATCAAGAGGAACGTGTCCTTTTACGAACTTTGACCTCTCGTCTCTATGTGTGGACGAAGAAAAAAAATAATATTTTTATCGTGTTCAACGCCAAAGATCCGAGTTCATTGATTATCCTTTGCTCGTCTGTAATACGCGCTTTACATGATTTACAATTAATTTTCGTTAGATCCCAAGTAATACCGATTGTCGCACACGCGGAGAGTTCCTTGTTAAAAATACATTAAGAAGATACAGATGTGCATATGCATAATGTATGCAGATGAAAATTGTAGGACAATAAATAAATTTACGCGAGATGATTCGCATATACATACATTATATTTAGCATATCCTGTTGTCGCTCATCGGTTAATGAGCTTCTCTCTCTCTCTCGGTTTAAGGTCAAGAAACCGTTCTCGTTCTCTGTTTTGTCTTTTATCAAAAAATAGTACATTATATATATAAAATTACGCGATCAAATGAGAAATAGAAAGTAAAGGATTGCCTTAAGGAAATGATCGAAATGCATCAAATTCCACCAATCGCGACGTGGCGTCTTGTTGTTATCAAGATCGTTCCAGGATCGTTCCAGGATCGTCTCCTTTAATTACTTCTTCCGTTCCCTCCTTTTCATACTCTCTTCTCTTTCTTCTGCTGACACCTCTACCATTCCCCCTACCTTCCCGAGAAAACCTGTCTTTACGAGACACGACAATGTGACGATCCAAACGAATCATCGAATCTCGCCAAAGAACGAGGATGCGCTTCTACTTTTGTGGTTCATTCGAATTCTATTAAAAATTTGCGAGATAAGACAACGCGCGAATGAATATTAACAAAATAGATTTATTTACAAAAAATGCAAACTCTAAGTAATTCAGTTAAAACACAGCATCCGTACAGGGACATTGGAAACACGTTAAACACGTTTGATTAATCGAATAAATTCACACAAACAACATTTGAACAATTATTATTAGTCGTAAAGGTCGGATATAAGTGTAATAATATTTATAAATAATATTGAAGAAATTTCGTGTAAAGTAGCATTCGAAGGACCGAATAACAGCGAGAAATTCACTAAACCGAATGAGAAAGAGATGGGGTAATAGGAGAGGGGGTAGTAGGGAGATGGAGGGAGTCGGACGACCACGTGACCATCGGGCGGGGGTGGCCAGGCGACATTTCGCATGCTCAGAACACGCCAGGCTGCGGCGTATCGCACATTGAGGGACGCAAACAGAGGGAAAAAAGGCTATAGGAGATTTTCAAAAGAGACAAAATACAGGAACAACGAAAGAAGAAGAAGAAGAAGAAGGGCAAACTGAGTGAGCTGCTCGATTATTCCACGGTTCGCCAAGTTAGCAGGAATTCTGCTCGACGTTCTTTCGAAAATTCGTTAAAATCCTTTTAAAATCATATTAAACGGGAGAGGGAGAGAGAGAGAGAGAGAGATAGAGAAAGAGAGAGAGAGACAGAAAAATAAACTGTTGGGGAAGAAAGAAAGTGGCTACGTTGGTGGTGTATAGCGCGTGTGTCAGATCTGTTTTTTTCGTTTGAAAAGAAAAGAATCGTAAAATAGGGTGGAAAGATTGAACCCCCGCCGCTCCAACCCCCCCTTCCTTCCTTTTGTTATTAGAAAAGTGCTCGTTTCTTTTAATAATTGATACTTCCTTTGAATTTTTGTTGATCGGTCGAAGACTGAGAAGAACAAAGAATACAAGAAAGTTTATTCGAAGAAACGTGTTTGGTTCGTCGTTCTGGACGTAAGTCCTTTGTGGGCGAGATGCTACTATGGATCTGGAAAGTGCGAGAAAAGTGAGATAATAAAGAGAGAAACGAAGCAAATAGAGATTAAGATTAGAGCGAAGGAGACGATAAAGGGGGAAGAAAAGAAGAAACAAACAAACAAACAAACAAACATACGTATAACAACGGGGAAGAAGGTATATCGTGAAAGTACGTAATCAAATTTTTGCCAGGTACGTTGCTCATTAGTTTGTTTTAATTTTTAAATAAAATGAATTATTAATAATGTAAGAGAAAGATATTGAAAATTTTTCTTTGTTCTTTTCTCACGATGTCAAAATCCACACGTGGCCCGCCAACTTTTTGAAAAACATTTCTTTATAGATACGTGCACACAAGTCGAACGATAAATTAATTTGATAACCAATTGCAATATTTCGATTGTTCACATTGCACTGCTATTTTGTATTCGGTATACGCGGAACATGCATAAATGTTAACGCGTACAAGCTAACAGCTGTTGAAAACCGTCATTATCAATTGAGCATGCGTAACATATGCATCTAATTCGGCTCGTTACCAGTAATGTATTTTAATTGGTCTTACGCGTTCACAGTATCAAAGAACGCAAGCGTTTACTAAAAGTTATTTCGCGCTAAAGATAATCCCCCAATCCTAGATTCAAATTTCAAGGAAAACTTAGAGCATTTCAAGAGTATTTCATCGATTATATCCTTCTTTATGGGGAATATCATTTGGAAACGCTGTTTTTTTTCTTTTTTTTTCTTTTTTTCAAATAAACGAAACTGACTTTGTAATTATCAATATCATTAAACAATAATACAAGGTTTCTCAGAGTTGTATATATGTTTACATTTTAAAAATAAGAAATACATTCTTATGGTCTTGTGTTTGATAGAGCCGTGAGAAAAGAAAAAAGATAAGACAAGGATGATATCGAGGAAAAAGAGAAAAGTTTTTTGAGAATATCGAGGAGCACGCATGCATTCGTAGGCACGTCGAGTCGTATCCATCGAAAAGCAAACATCTTAAAAGCGGTTGGTCTCTCGAATTTCTTCTCTCTATCCCTTGAACGCTCGTAAGGGGTCCGCCAAAGGACCCGTACCAAAGCCCTAGGTCCTTTTGGACGAGAATCTTTTGTCTTGCCCGGCTGCAACTATTCTATTTTTCTTTCTCTCTCTTTCTCTCTTTTTCTCTTTCTCTCTCTCTCTTTCTCTTTATTTTTCTTTTTTCCCTTCTTTCGAACGCATAAACGAAGAATGAACTAGAAGGAACGAGAACGTGTGCGTGTCATGACCGAAAAAAGGAAGCTGCAAGTCGCGTCGCACGCATTTTTAAGTTTTCTTTTTAAAATAGGAAGGATCCGTATCGTAAATATACATGCGCGAATACAGAATCATTTTCTACGTGAAATTAAATTATATAAGTATCTTGATTAAAGTAAAACTTTGATAATGTTAAGTATACGTAATATGTATCTATAGAATGGTATATGTTTATACGCGTGTATACACACGTTCGTATCTTCAGTTATTATAATAGTAGTATGTGCGAACTAAGCAGCTTTTTCCGACGACGACGGACACTTTGCTGGTAAAGTCTGTGTCCTATGTAAGCGTGGACATACCGGTAGATAATTCGTTTAGATAAACGGAATTCCGTTCATCTCGTTTCTCTTGCTTATCGTTCCTGGTAAAACTTGCAACGCGAACTTACTGGCAAATCTTTTGGGCTGAATCAGCGGCTATTATTCTTTTCTTTACATTGCTTTCCTTTGTCCCTTTAGATCTAAGAGAAATATTAGGGACGATTAGATATGTGATTCCGTTATTTCTGAAGTGGTCGCATTCGATAGAGTTAGGAGGAGGAGGGAGACCCCCCTTACGCAAGAGTCTCTCTTTCAGCGATGGAGTTGGCGATGGGTGGTGGTCGGAGGAGGTGGTCGGAGGAGGTGGTCGAAGGTAGTAGACTCACGCACAAGGGCGGAGCACGCTGAGAAAAAGAGAGAAAGATAGTGTGACTTGGCAACATAAAGAATACGTAATGCAAAACGATGCGAAAAGAGATTTCATTGGCCGACTCCAAAGGTGTTCCTCGTGCACGCCTACCACCACCAATCCATGCTTCACTCCACCTCCTCTTATTCGACACGCAATTGGCAGGGCTTGATGACGCGTTCTCCGTACCAACTAACTTCGACATCTCTTTCCTATATCCTATATCCAGAGATCGTCCAGAAAGACCTTGACCATTTACAATTACTATTTTTATTCTAATATAATCGAAAGGCATAGATAGATAGAGAGAGAGAGAAAGAGAGAGAGAAAGAGAGAGAGAGAGAGAGAAGTGTACACGAGCTGTATTCACAGGTTTCACGTTTAACCCTTCAAAGTTTAATACGAAAAAAAATCATGTTAATGCTATCCTGGATGAAATTTCATCTCACCGTATTATCTTTCATTTTACATAGCAATAGGAAAAACATAAATGCGATTAAAAATTTGGATTTTATTATTTAATATCGGAATAAGAGTACGGAAGTTAATTATTGGGCTGAAATTCCAGCTGCCATATCTTTTCAAGATTAACGCGAAGTCATTTATTTATTTATCACAGATTTTTCATTCATTAATTCAATGAAAAAAGCTTGAAGTAGAATTGAGAATCGAGACCGAGAATACCGGCGAGAGATCTCGTGGTGTTGCGTTTATATATCATAGCTTTTCAAGCTTCATAGGGGCGGGGGAGAGAGAGGGTTTCTTCTCTTGCCTTTGCCGTAATTATACTTAAGTATTTAGAAAGAATTTGGAATTTGGAAATGGTTGAAATCAATTGATGTTTTAGGTAGAGTGATATGTTAACCGAAGACAATGACCCGACAAAACCAGCAGGCGTTTTAGACAATGCTGGCAGTGTGTCTTCCTCGACAGAGGCCTCGGTACAGCACCCCCGCAATGCAAACAATGGTGGGCAATATTTCTTTTTCATTGGCGTAGAACTCGACAAAAAATATAGACTAACATTTGAAATATCAATAAATCTATATAGAATTGTCCAATTACTTTTCGTTTTACTCAATGTTTACGTGGTAGTAGTAGTAGTTTCTCGGTTTGATTGTTGGATGAAATGGTCTAAAGAATTTTCATTTAATCGAAAAATGATTTGGCGATGTGTGTTATATGTTTTTTGTTCGTACGAACAGAAACCGAAGTTAAAAACGAAGTTCAGGATTGTCCAGAGAACGAAAGCGTGCCGGGTAGCGAATTATACATCGACGAGAATGCCGAGGAAAAGGAGCAGGAATATCCGGATTCCATGGAGAAGGCTGACTACGGTACTCTCTATGGCGCAAATCAATACTATAACAGGTATGCGATTGATTATCGTTGATGGAATAGTAAGCTTTTAGATAGTTACGTTATATCCTGGACGCTGTGCACACTATATGCACGGTTCCGCTTAATTTTCTCTCAGTACATTAATAATTGAACATTGTTTAGAATACGTTTTGCATTCCGTGGTCAAAGTTGACTTTAATCGGTGGTTGTAGAAAATAATTCGATCAATATATAACACACAGAATAAATAGAATTGTTCTTATCATTATATTCGCGTTTACAAATTCGTTTTTAGCATATACAATTCGCCTACTTATGGATCGACGACGGCCACCAAGAACACGTCGAGCTTGCAAAGCTCTTATCTGACTTCTTACACAACGCCTAGCACGATGACGCAATATTCGTCGTATGCCGGTTACAATAGCGGCACCACGACGTTTCCTAACGTAGGACAAAATATATCCTCGGCTTCTCAGGTGAAAAAATAACAAGATAGAAAATAAAAGAATTCAATTATATAACATGTTAATCATATAAGTAAGGGATTTATATATTTTCCTTCCTAGAAGCTGGACTACACCGCTTATGGTAGCAGTTTGTACGGAAACGACAGGGTATCTCTCCAATATTCCGGATATTATTCGATGCCTGGTTATCACACGAGTCATGCGTCTTTCAACATAGGAAATCTTAATTTTGCTGGTAAAATGACTCTGTTCGTAAATTTTTGTTTACAATAGATTTACAACGTCTTATTACTCATAATGTTATATTTTTTTTTCAATGTAAACGAAAAAGATTCGACGAAGACAGCACTGGCGTTGGACACGAGCGCTCACGATGCGAGTGACCCGACCGCACGAGACCCGACCACAAACGTCGAAGGTAATACGAGTCATTTCGGATCGATCGTGTCGTGTATATCGCTGCTTTATCCTTGCTATTTTCGATCAAAGTTTTTCTTAACAATTTAGATATATTACAACAGAAATATCTTCCTAAATATATTTCTGAATGTATTAATCGTTATTATCAAAAAGTTTGGAAAACGTTGAAAAACGTTGGTGATGAGAAATTCATTAATTTCCGTAGGAACAACAGCGAAGCCCTGCAGACGCGGCAGGCGACAGAGCGGAAGCGGAAACAGTATCGGTTCCGCGGACACGACGGAAGCCGGCCCCGATCGTATATTCATTTGGGATCTCGACGAAACCATAGTCGTGTTTCATTCGCTTCTCACTGGTCAATTTGCTACGAAGCACCGAAAAGATCCTACCCTGCTAGCCCAGGTAGCCTACAGGATGGAGGAAATGATATTTAATTTGGCCGACACGCACTTTTTCTTCAACGACGTTGAGGTCAGTCGAAAGGTCTCCGATTTTTGTTCTCTCCTCCCTTTCCCTCTCCCTCCCCCTCTCCCTCTCCCTCTCCCTACTGATCTCGAATAGAGTATGTCTTGCTTGACAATATTTATTGTTATCAGGATTGCGATCAAGTACACATAGACGACGTATCGTCCGACGACAACGGACAAGACCTATCCTCGTATAATTTCGCAACGGACGGCTTTCAATGTGCTTCAGCGAACAACGGCATATGCCTGGCCTCCGGGGTACGCGGGGGAGTCGATTGGATGAGAAAGCTCGCCTTCCGTTATCGCAAGATAAAGGAGATCTATTGTAATTATCGCAACAACGTTGGCGGCCTTCTCGGAACGGCGAAACGCGAACAATGGGTCCAGCTGCGCTCAGAGATCGAACTTCTCACCGATAATTGGCTCACGTCGGCCGTCAAGTGTCTTAGTTTGATCAACAAGAGAAGCCATTGCATCAACATTCTCGTAACCACCACCCAACTCGTTCCCGCCCTCTCTAAGGTCCTCCTATTCGGTATCGGAGGAATATTTCCTATCGAGAATATTTATTCCGCATCTAAAATAGGTTGGTACGCGAATATTTCATTGTCACTCCTTTCATTAACTCTCTCATTCTCTCTCTCTCTCTCTCTCTCTGTTTTTCTCTCTATCACTCTTTCAGGGAAAGAGAGTTGTTTCGGAAGAGTGGTGGCTCGTTTCGGTCGCAGATGCACCTACGTCGTCATAGGGGATGATTCCGACGAGGAGACGGCAGCGAGAGCGCACAATTTTCCTTTTTGGCGAATAAACAGTCATTCGGACACTCAGGCACTTTACAATGCTTTGGAAATGGGATTCCTTTAACGTGTTTCCCTGATCTATGAGCAATGGCAAATTAGATAGAAGACAAAACGAGAGGGGAACTTCCTTCGAAGACGAGTCTTTACGAAATTAACGATAAGGACGAAACGAACAAATGGGTCCATGGTCCAAAAGTGATATAATAAACAAGTGAAAGTATAACGAGCAGAGATAATTGAAAAGGTAACACGCTACATACATAGGCAGGGAGTATTTTTTAAGTATCCGTGATACATTTCCATTTTAAATTATCAATTATTTCATCATCATAAACATATGTGTCATATTCAATGGAATTTAAATGAAATAATTCTTATGTTTTATTTACGAGATACGATGGAAAAATGTATACGTACGATGATTAACATCCTGTAAAACAGATAGTCGATCGATCAAGATCTTTGAACGTTTTGTTTTTTTCTTCCCTATTAATTAATTAAGCGATAAGCAATTATCTTTTCTGTGTACTTAAAAACGTACGATATACGTATATAGTATATCAGTTTCTTTCTTTCCTCTTCTATTTTCCTTTATTTTCTTTCGTCTTGCTACCTAATTTGTCGACACTAAACAAATCTATCAGCTTATTTGTTTCTTCTTTATTTTTTCATTTACAATCGCTAATAACGAGTTAATGATCTCTCGAATTTACATTATAGTATTAAAAGAATATATCATTTTCCTATATTATACATATATTATACTAGCTTGATAACCGACGTGCGTTGCAACGAAGTAATAAATACGTGAATTTTATTTTTTGTATAGAAAATAGTTTTTGACAATGTGATCGACGTGAAAAAGCAAGAAATTAGAAAATGATTGAAGATGAATAATTATTAAAAAAAAAAAAAACAACAAATTAATGAATATATATATATATATATATGTACACTATAGTGAAGAGAGAAAGGAAGAGAGAGAGAGAGAAAGAGAGAGAGAGAGCGAGCGAGCGAGAAACAAGTGCAAGTGTGATCACAATTAATTAGATAATTCTAGTAAAGTATAAGAGTTGGGACACGATTAGCGTAAATGCTAGCCAAAGTTAAAAACATTGAACGACTGTGAAAGTAATTTAATGTAAGTTTCATGAAATATAAGCTCGTTAGATGGGGGTGAGTGTAATTCGAAATATAATCAAGTTACATTGTACAGCGGTATTTTACATTTTATCGATCACCGGGAGAGTTTACGAAGGAGGGTAAAAAAGCAAAATGAAAAAGGGCAGACGAAACGAAAGCAAAATAACGAAATAGACATTTCTTTCGTATGCGTAGTACACATGCAACGTATACGAGCAATTCCTTTTTTTAACGCTATCTAAGGAAACAAACACAAATGTATCGTTGCAAGTTCTACGATTGCATAAACGCATGTTATACGTAGACACTGAAATAATTACTTTTCTTTTAGAATACTTTTAACTCTTACATACAATGCACAAACAAATTACGCATACGTTTCTCTCATTAATAGAATTTAACGAAAGGTTTTAGTAACTCGACCAAATTGAAAAAAAAACAACTAAATTATATCAACGTTCCAAAATGTTATTTAATGCACGTTACCTTTTTTTTTTGTCGCTGGTTGTGTGATGTAAGCCATCATTATCGGCTCCGAATCGTCTATATAAGAATATTTATAAAATCAAAGATAATTATGTTTTAATAATAGATTATTATCGTTAGAAGATTTTTATAGCTATAGCGTATTTTTCTAAAACGCTTCCATCGAAGTCCTCCGATATGTCCATTTTTCTTATTGTATGACCGCATATCACCATTCGCAACTTAAGCAAAAGAGATATGCTACAGATTAATTTACCTGTACTTACGTCATTCTTCTAATACACTTACCATATCATAATCTATGTTAGATTATTTGGATTTATTTGTGCTAATATATATCCCGATAAAGATGAATTAGATATTGCTTCTTTGTTCAAATATAAAGTGCTTATTTTTGTTTTCAAAATTACAGGAGAAGAAACAAATAGAGATACTACTTTTCAAATAATTTTTCTATTTAAAATATCACTTTATTATTTTTAACCTTTTTCTTTTTGTTTTTATTTTTTCTCTTTCGAAAAATCATTCTTGTAATAATAGATGTAAAAACAAGTTTGTACATCATGATAAACCTTTAAGATACATAGTTAACTAACTGCATAAAGAGAGAGAGCTAAGATTATTCATTTACATTAGATACATTTGTTTTCCACATTATAAAAGATGGAAAAAAAAAAGAAAATAAAAGACACATATCCTTGTTATATTTTAACATATGTTGGGGTAGTTAAAACGCCACAATTATTATCCTGCTGCGCCATAAGTATGTAACCATCGTTACCCCAGTAATTAGACCATGAATTCTTGATTAACCAATAAGCCTTTCCTTTCAACGTACCATAGCCAACAGCCAAGACAGCGTGATCTAACTTGTCCTCCGTATTGCCTAAATAACGAGTTGCGAATTTCATTTTGACATATGCTATTGCATTTACTACTGCATATTCTACTGTTTTACTAATAATTAATTGTAATTGAAATAATATTAGGAATATTTACCGCAAGCGGGCTCGTAATAGACACCATGCGAATAAAAGGAAAATGTCTTGTGAGATGCGTCGATAGCTACAGAAATAGGACCATGATTGGCCAGAGCTACCTTTAAAGCATCCGCGTTTCCTGATGTAACATTAACGTATCCCGAAATCTTAGCCGCCATAGTAACATTGTTAATATGACAAAATCCATCCTAAAATGATAGCGCAAAATGTTTTATAAAACATTTCTAAAGTGTTTTCCGCGCGCGCATTATTCAAAGTACTCTTACCTGACCCATATAACCACCATATTCATCTTCAGAAGGTATTCCGCCATGTTTCATTATCCACTGATAAGATCGGAAATCTTCGCCACCGTCGCATCCGTTATTACCAAAGCCCCATGAACAGTCGATTAACGCCTTGTCAAAAAAAATAATAATTGTAAGATTGAAAGAGGAACGTTCTATTTTGATCTAAATTGTTTTACCTGTTGAGATAAGCGCACTAATTTTCCATATCTCATATAATACGCTCCTTCCACTGCACCGGTCGTACCAAAACTCCAACAGGATCCGCAAACAGATTGATCTGTGATATATGCGATTGCATTATTATCTAAATCTATTCAATTTCATAATAATATTACCTTTAACGGGCGTCACAGCACCATACAATCTCCAATCTAAATTGTCAGGAACTCTGGTTATTTCTTTTTCAATATCATGAGGAAATGGTTCACCGCCGTTGTAACCTTTTGTATATTGTTTTCCACGCAAAGCATACATTTCCAAATCAGACAGATCGGCCAGATGATTCACGTCCAATTGATACCCTAAATTGGCGCGATTGATCGAATGAATGAATCTGCAAAATATCCCATAGATTATTTGACTGTAGAAGAATTTCATTCGAAAAGAAAAAAAACAACACAACAATGAAAATTATATAAACCTCATATTCTGTCGAAATAATTCCTTCCGTCCAGTATGTTCGGTTTCGTTCTTGTAATATTTTTGATGGGTTTTCTTAAACTTTTTAAATGCTACATTCACATGTTCATCATAATTATGAATAAATTCTTTCATAGGATTGAAAGTATATATATGATTATCTCCAGGTCCAGGGAAACTAACGCACGTAGAATCTAAAATGATATGATATTTTTATAGTAATCCATTAAAACTTAGTTTCTTTCTGGACGAACAAATATTCGAATAAATATGAAAAATGTGACTAATACTTTCTGCAACTTTGAACACATCCGGACTGGGAGCATCGAAAGAGTACCAATCATAATCCAAATAGTAATGATCGTAATGGGAACCAAGTAAACTGTTAAAACCAATCATTTCATATTTCACTGGTATGGGTTCTTTCTTCTGTGGCAGATGTGGAGATTTCTGTGGAATAGTATATTAGTATAATGGAAAATATTAATAGCCTAATTTTTGATACGAATCATAAATTGATACCTTATAACGTATCCATAGTGTATATTTATTTTTTTTATCTCCAACGTTTTCAACGAGCCTCCATTTTTCGCAAGGCAAACCGTTTATAACTTCCTCTCCGATACACTAAATGATATATATTAATTTTTAATAAAGTAATATAAGTTGCACGCGTGCCAAATAGAGAATAGGGGAAAGAAATATTAGTTACCTCCATTCCAGTTGTATCTGGAATTATACTCTGTGGATGAATTTTAAAATTACTCGATCCATTTACTTGTAGACACGTCTCTTCGTTCATGACAGATTCTGTAGTAACAGGTGCAATTTTGATACTAGCACCGTATGATCCTTCACCGCTAAGTTGGAAAGTTTTAACTATTCCTAAAAAACAAAAAAAGGAAATGTGACATACGAGAGTAAAAACAGCTGTAAAATGGACAAAAATGGCGAACTTTGAATGACGAGTTAGACTCCATTTAGACAAGAACAAGTGCACGACGAATCTCGCAATTGGTCGTAAATTAATTATATCCGAATGAATAATATAACAAAAGTAATTACCTCCATAATAATCTATTCGACTAGATCCACTTTTTCCATCGTACCATGCATAGAAAGGTTCACGTATTTCGGCATATGGAATATACAATGTACCTTTCACAGTATAAGCATTACTAAATGTTGGTGATTTGAGATTTGTGGCATAAGCGAAACCTGAAATAACATAAATTCGTTCGAAGAATCTCTAAGAAGTTCCATAATCTATTAGAAATAAAACAATGAAGCTAATAAACTTACTGCAAAGCAGTAGGACCAAAGCACATTTGATTCGAATCATCGTATTTGCTTAGAATAGAGATACTTCTCCAAAGGGGTATTCCTAAAAAAGAAAAACACACATTTTTATATATATATATATATATATATAACACAATAACTATATATTTAATAAGAATTAATAAGAAGGGTACCTATGTATTTTCTAGATGCGTAGTTTATTTCCTTCCAACTTGTTACTATTCTTCTGCTTCTCTGAAATTTCTCTTTGTGACGCTAACGAAATCGCTTTAATCGCTGCGTCTCTTTCTTACACTATCTTATCTAAAAGGAAACAAAGTAAAATAAAAGAAAAGGAAAACAAAACAATGGCAAAATGCCCTCTGTTATATTTCTCATAATTGAATGTATTTGATATACCCTGCCTGATAAGATGTATTACATATCTAGTATCAAAGATCAGTTTGCATATTACGAACACATCGAATATCAAAAATCCCCAAATGAAAATGAAATTCTTCTTCAGTTCTATATGTAATAGGGACTTTAGGCTCGTGGCATAGATAGAACCAGATCTTGCTGTGTTGCGCCCCCTTCTGTTGACCGAATTTTCGGTAGAAGCTGCAGTTGCACTATCTATGCAGGCAGCGGATGTTCGCTTAATTCATAGACACGACATTTAGTACGCATTATTAAAGTGTAACGTCAACATTATTTGATTTTCTATTTACAATTACTTGTTCTTATTATTCATGGAAATTAATATCAATTATGTCATTGGTATTCGATGCAAATCCTGGTATAGATGTACCAGCAAATATTGCAAAAGAAAGTATAAACTTAAATATCTTAGAAAAGATAGAAAATGATTTGGACATAGACGATATAGTTTCTATTCTATTTTTAATGGTTAGCGATTATAAAAATGCATTTTCCAAAATACATAAACTTTATTGTAAAGCTAAGAATAACGAAACATCTGTGATCGCAGAAATTGTCAAAGACAATCAAAAAAATTGGGAGGACAAATTGTTAGAATCTATTTGTATTTGTAACAATCGGGAAGTTACCAAAAAATTAGGTTTACGGTTCGAAGACTTGGAAATAAGGTACTTACCGAAAAATAGATTATTTGCGAAAACATTAAATCCTATTGCAAAATGTTTATACTTATTATGTGAATCTTTAACTATGGAAGACACAAAAATGTTATTGCGTCTAGTTAAAGAGGATAAAGTCAAGTATGAACCAACATTGGAGGATACGGATCAATTAGAATTACATCTATTATATTGGATGAGTATCGAATATATCTGTATTTCATCAGGTAAATTTTCTTCAGAATATTCTTTTGCATATTTCTTTTTAACTCGCAAATATTTGGTGTATTTTATAAAATAAAATTGTTAAGTAATGAATCTACAGAAAAGCAAGGAAATTTGAAAAATTTGTTGAAACATTTGAAGACCTTTGACGATGTAGAGTTAATAACTCTAGACTTGGCAAAGTATGACGGACATCATTTGCATTCATCGAGCGCGGATACTTCGGAAAATGTTTGTTCCATACAAAATTTCAATAAGTCCAATGTAATGGAAATAGAAAATAATGAAAAAAGTATACGTAAAATAAAAAAAGGATTGTGCGTAATTATAAATCAAATGTATTTCCGTGGATCGCAGGTAATGTGCAATTTTTCGTCAAGTATTAACCACTTGCGGTGGAAAGACGTGCCACGCACGTCAACATGCTTTTGTTACTGGAACGCCAGCGACGTGTTACGCACGTCGTTTGGCGATTGTTACAGAAAGATAAATGACGTTCTGGCACGACGCGCAACCGAGAATTTCTTTGCACCGCAAGTGGTTAAAATATGTCATAAAATTAATCGTATTCGTGTTATATCGTTATGAACTTTAGTACGAAACTCGCTATGGAACAAATGCAGATTCTAATAAATTATCGAAAACGTTCAAAGGATTTGGATTTGCTGTTCATATTTTGGAAGATTTGAAGAAAAACGACATGCTCTTAAATATCAGAAATCTATCGAAATTATTTGGCTCCGATTATGACTGTATATTTGTATGCATATTGAGTCATGGCTGCAAAGGTAAATAACGTCATTATAGTCGAGTAACGTTGCATTTCAATGTTTTTACATGTTTACTTTTGTAAATATCTATACAACTAAAGAAAATTTATATTTAAGGAAATATTATTACGTGCGACGAGGCAGAAGTATCCATTGAAAGTATTGAAAATGCTTTTTGTTGTCCAGAATTTACTGAAGTAATGAAAATAGTTATTATTCAAGCTTGTCAAGGGAAAATAGCAGGTGAGAGTGTAAATATATTCAAAAATAATTGATAAAAAGCAAAATTCATTGTATTTCCTTGTAATATGTGTCAGGAAAAGTTCCTGTTAACGGAAATTCGTTAACAACGGATGGACTGGAGGATGATCCTGTGACAGCTGATATAACGGCGCGGAAAAATTTTTGCATTTTTATGTCAACGTTGCAAGGCTATGTGTCTGTGCGCGATAAATTACGAGGTATCAGTACAAAATTGAATATTTTCAAGAAATCTCTCTATATACTCCCACATCTTTCATCATTTTCTAATCATTTATATTTTGATTTTCAATCTAGGTTCCTGGTTTATTCAAGAATTATGCGATGTACTCCAACAAAAAGAAAGGAAAGTAACGTTTTTCGATTGTGTTACGAAAGTTATGCAAGCGGTACAAAATAAGCGTGGAATTATGGGTAACGAATTGGTTGCTCAGTTACCCGAATTACGCATGCTTCGTTTGAATACTGATTTCGAATTTCCTCGGTACAATAATCCTTGAATACGAGAAAATATAACTTAATATAAATAATTAAATGTGACACACAAATTTTGATACACTTTCCTATCTACGAGAAGCGCGTAATTTACTAAATATAGTAATATTACAATAGATGGCGAGATATTAGATTTAATGTAACAATTATAGATATGAAGTTAAATATATAATTGACTATATTTATTTGAAAGAAAATGAAATCGTGATCGTAAATTATCTACTACAGTATCGCGTATACTATCGCGCAAAATAGCTTCTTTCAATAGTAAGCGACAAAATAAATTCTTTCTCGTATTAAGCAAAGTATCGCGAAAGGTTTTGCATAAAACAGAGAGAGAGATATATATATATATATATAGATCATTTCTAGTGACTTTGTTGGATTTCGCAAGCAAAGATTCTTGATTTCGCGCGATTCTCCTGATTGTCTTTTACGAATTTATCAGTAATTATTCTAATAATAAAGAAATATATTAATTCGAAGCCAGACATAAGACTAAATCCAACGAACAAACCCAAGAGTCCCCCGAAAGACGCTGAAACGAGTAATTTAGATTGTTGTAATATTGTAATGCGATTCATTATTAATTTTATCGATGCAATGGATTTTTCGACTTACCGAACAAATTACGCCAATTATAATGAACGCTTCGACGATACTGAATGGCTACCAAATCGCTAAAGAATACATGGATTATACTTTGATTTTGGAATCCTTTGTATTTCCTAAAAATATAATAACACGATGGGAGGGAGAATAATACGAAACGTTGATTTGATCGACTCGGTGAAAGTTCGTTACTTGGTTTTTTTTAGGAAATGAAATCCATCGAAAGAAATGTTATCATCCAGAATCCCTTGGGAAACGTCAATTGGATATCGAAACAATGTACAATCGGGAACACATCCGCAGGGTCTCTTGTCTATCTCGTTTAAGTTTTTTTCCAGATTTACTTGCTCCACGTCGATGTTTTTTCCAGGCCAGGACGTATCGTACCAAGCTGCGATAGAGAACCATTTGCCAATTCTATTTGTTCGATAAATAAATGAGAGAAATTTTGTTTTAATTATTACTTACATCTGTGTATCGATAAACATTTGACGTCTTTCAAATTACAAACTCTGACTTCTGTAAGAGTGTAAGAGAAGAATAAGGATGTTTCAAAGAAATTTGTAATTTAGTTTGTGAAATGCAAGGGCATACTTACCACTCGGTGGAAAATAATAAGGAATGCAATCGCACTTTTTCTTGATGGTATTGGCACGACATTCCGCCATACAGTTTACATAAGAATATTTTTCTGACGTTAATCTTCTGTACTCGATGTTTTTATTATTAAGTATCCTATCCCCTTCATCGCTGAAAACGCAATTTCGCGTGGAAATAGCGAGATCTTTAACGTCCAACGTTGCGTAAGTTTCTTCGGGTGCAATACTGAGGAAAGCTTGTTTATTCAAATCGATCAATTTATCGTTAGCATTGTGGTCCGGATAATCGTATGGATAATGAACTAAAACCTTTTGACAAGTTTTATCGGTGAATTCAAATGTTTCATTAAATAATGATTAATTTAATCGAAAAGCCTTTAGCTGATTTATTTTCATTTACCTTTACACCGAAAGATCCAAGAAAGGTAGCCAAATAATCATTCGGATCAGGATTCACCGATACGGCGAGACCAGTTTGATAACCGCAAGCTGGTATTCTTCTCGGTTGAAGACTTCGATAAGAGAATAATTATGATTAAATAAAACAACAATAAAAAAAAGGGATCGAAAAAAAATGTCTGTAGATATTTTCATACTCGATAGAATTTTTCGTATGGTAGGAAGATACATAATTGAAGCTGCAGCAGAGACCGTCTCTGGTTAAGCTCCTAATAAAGAATTTGTTGCAATCGAACGAGTCGTCGTTCCACTTGCACAATTTTAATAGATCGCTACAGTTCCTCGTAACCTGGAAATTTGATTTTTTCGTCGGATATTAATTTTTGTCAAAACAATCTTTAGAGTCATCGAATATTCGAATAACCTTTTCCATTACTTCCGGTATCGTTAATCGATTATCATCAAGGATGTTTTGTAAACGAGTAAGATTTTCCGCGACATCCTGCTCGAACACACCAGGATCGAGTAATTCTAAGAGTAGTCGGAATTCCTGAACCAAAAACTCCTTGGATATATTGGACGGATGATTCCTACGAGTAAATGCAAGTTGGAAGAATTAACACATAGGTATGTCCTAAGTAGCGGATACTCACAACATATCGACCAAGCTTCTCGTCAAATTCAACGATATTCGATTGATATTGCAAATCGTTACAGCAGGAAACGGATAATTCCATATACCTCGATGAGTAGTTTCTATCACCGTGAGCGTTGGGTGAGATGCATAATAATCCCAAGCGATTTTCATCAGGACAATTGCACAACAGAATGAGGCGAACAAAACGATGGCCCAAATAATTCTAAACAAAAATATCTATATTTATGAATACGAATGTAATCGTTGCATTGTCTTGAAAAACAAAACACTACCTACCGTTCGATTTTGGAACGCTGCGATTGTGCGACATACTTGTATCCGTGAAGCCCTGTCGCGAGACAAAATTCTCGTGCCTGATTCCTCAAAACGATCCAGAATATTTTCTTCGATTCGGATGAATCTCTTTTCTCGTTCTTCTTTCGTAACCTTTTCATGTTTTTAGTCCGCGAATCGAATAATAATTATTCGTTGTTAAAAGTTATTATTTGGTTTTCTTCCGTTAAACGAAAAGTCGATGTAAACGGAACGGTATTTAAAGGAGAATGTCGTGCGTACGACAGTCAGCCAGCTCGTCGTACGATATTAAATATTCATTCGATGTTTTTCATCGATTCTCCTCGTCGACGCGATAAATTTAACCTAACCGATTATATTCGATATGCAAATGGTAAGTAAGGGTGGCATCGATCGGAAGAAAAACACGCGCGTGTCCTAGAGCGCGTCGTCGCCTTCTTTCCTTCCTTTTGCCGACCTTGGCATTAGATAATACTTTTTTTCTCTCGTGTTTATTGCAATTAACGCGTGCATGAGAATACCAAATGCAAGAACAAGAATAGGTACGATCTCCTTGATACGCGTTTGCCATCGGACTAAGCGATTTTTCGAGGAGTAGTGGTAGTTCGTTCAAAATGAGAATGTTCTCGCAAGGAAGGCAACCAATATTGAAAGTCGAAATGTATCCCATCTTCAGTTTCGTAGATTCCCTTTCCCTTAGGGTCTCTCGTTGACTCGAGGACTGTCGGCCGAGTGACTCGGTTGTTCGGATATTAAACTTTGAAGATGCCGCTTCTCACCGTTCTGGCGTGTCTGACTCAGCGAGTGTCATTAATAACTTGGAGGAGATAGATAAAGTGTTAAACACCGTGAACCGTGTGCTCGAGCACACGTCATTACCCTGACTACTTACTAAAGGGCCCCGATGCTAATGTACCTCGCGAATTGGCTTCTATAATAGACGCGCGACCTAGGGTATACCGATGTCGAGACAAACTTTTAATGGGTAATACAGTATATATTTGTCTTGTTTTTCTTTTTTATTTATTTTTGCCTGAGTGCGTAAAGCATATCTATATAATCGAATATTAGGGCGATATCGGTGCGGCACGAATTCAACGAGCCGAGGAACTTTCGTTAGGCGACGAGCTTTTAAATCGGCGCACCGGGGTTGTAATACTGGAAAGGGGCGAAAAACTGGCGAGACTGGTATTTGATATCAGCCACCCTAACGATTCTCAGAGACACTTAAAGGAAGCACGCGACGCGGGGGAAGAAAAAGATGAAAAAGAAGAAGAAGAAGAAGAGAAGTTAATGGAGACAAATTCGAATCGACTGTAAATCATTGCTAAATGTGTTTAGTTAATAAGAGGATTAACTAAAAAATAGTATCTCTTGTATTATTTAAGTATCCTAGAGAAATAGAGGGCTTCGTTTATTTCTAAGAAAATAGTTTAAACTCGTGTAAAAGTTGCTTTAGAAACCTCTCGCAGTTCAGTCTTTAAACGCGAGTATAGTGGGGTCATTTTAATTATGAGATAGTTCATCCAGCCTTCTCGTATAGGGAAAATTACTGATCGCTGGGTCGTACCGAGGCCGGTGGATGGGGTAACAATGTATTATGCGTTCACCCTGTCAGCCCCTCGTGCTAACCGCAAACCCCTTCTATTCATCCCCAACAATTCGTTAACTGCTATCGAATTGACTTCTACGGCACGGTTGGTTTAGAGCTTACGCTCGTTAAACTTTCTCCGTTTCCATGTTTCAAGCATTCGACTAGGTTTATTCGACTAGGTTCATTCGACTAGGTTCTCGTCTTCTATTGTTTTATTTTTCTTTAGTCAGGATCGAAAAAGGCGAAAAGTTCTTATCGTCGGAACTAGGACAACGACGCGCGGCTGCCAATTTGTCAAAGTTTGGGAAAAAATTGAGCCGCGAGGGCTCGATGGAATTGTTTAAAGCTACCCCGTAGGAAGAGTTTCACGGGTTTTCAAGAAGAAGATGGGCCAAACAAAAAAAAAGAAAGAAAGAGGAGCTTATAGATAGTATACCTATATGAAGAGTTTCCCGGGGATTTGTATCCATCTATATAGCATCTGTATTACGAGGGCGATGGGGATTGCATGACGGGGATTGCATTATGGGGACGACGTATTTCGCGGCACATTGAGTCGACGGACTTTAAAATACACCCGCCGTTCTTTTCGTTCTCAAGAAAAAACGTTTAGATCTATCTTTAACTCTCAGCCCATCGGCTCCGGGCCTTTTATTTATACATGCTTACATCTTAGTTTTCTATAATAATATTTCTTATAAACGCTCGATAATTATTCAATTATCGATATGTTATGTGGGTTGCGCAAAAAACATATAAATATATTTCGTATAATACCCCATCGTTCTTATTTTATTTAGTTTTCCTCTCGAGAAAGGTTTTTCCTTTTCAGAAGGTTCGTCTTATCCTTTGGCATGTGCACGTCGCCGTTAGATTCGATTCGTAAAATAAGGGAAGCACATAGTAGAAGGGAAGTACATACGGAGCATATAGGGGTTTGCACGCGGGGAGAGATTTTATGGGGGCTCCGAGTATATTTCCTGATTGAGCGAACTAATCCACGCAAAGGAGGTTTTATCGTTGAGGTATACCTAATCGAAGGGGCTCCGAGCGATCGTTCTCGTGTCCTGTTTCTTTCGGTATCTTCGATCGGTACCGATATTTTCCAATAAATGACTAAATATTACCGATGACTAAAAGAGAAAGAAAGAAAGAAAGAAAATAGGACTCGGTCTAGCTCCGCTTTCGAATCCCTCGTTAGGATGATATTTACGAGAACGTATCGCGTATTTCTACGAGTTTTTCCTCCAACGGAAGTTTGTCTAAAACTCGTTCGCGAGTATTTACGATAACTTATCCCCCTCCTGGATTGGGTATCCTCTAGATTTTTCTTCGATTCCAACGACAATCAAAAGAAAAACTAAAGAAACGTTCTTTCTTCTTTCCTTTCCTTTCCTTCGCAATTCGCGCAACCTTGAATTCGAAACACGGTCTGGGCGGTCCTCCGATGCTTTTAATCGTAACTTTCAAGCTGGCCCAGTGACGCGAACCGAATCGAAAGTTTACTCCTACGGAGAAAGGTTTCCACGGTTTTATCGTCCCTAAGATAGTTTTTCGCTATTCTGATACGCTTGTATTTATAGTGATTGGGGTAAAAGAAGAAGAAGAAGGAGAACTCGAGAGAGGGTTGCGAAAAAGAATGAACGCGCATTTCGATCTATCCCTTTTGACTTTCTTTACAAAATTTGTGTCTGCTTGCTTGCTTGCTTGCTTGCTTGTTTCGGAGGTATGTTAAAAAGAAGAGAAAGTAGTTAGGGCAAACGTATGGTCAGCCTGAATCTGGTTAATGTGTGGACATAGAAAGAAGGAGAGAACGAACGTGTTCACAAGCCGCGTCGGGATCGAAGAAATGAATATTCAACGGTAAACACCGCTTACGCTTGTAAAGGGTTCCCATACGAAGATGTAAGCGGAGATAGAGAGGGAGGGAGAAAGAGAAAAGTCGACTCATCTCGTTCTATCTCTTTCCTTTAAAACAGGGAACGAGAGAGCTCGTGACTTGTATGGATATAAACGCGCTCTCTCTCTCTCTCTCTTTCTCTCTCTCTCTCCTCCCTCTCTTCTCTACGTCTCGTGCAAGCTGAGAGAAACGTTGTTTACGATATTACATCTATAATACCGGTCAAGTGGGCAACGTCCAGCCGTGGTGTAATCTCCTCTGCAGCAGGACCTCGTTCCTGCCCAGATACAGCACGTTGAGTCTTTTGGAATTATGATAATGTACTTTAGCGGACTTTCTAAACTGGGAAACTATCGTTTTATCCAGTCTTATCTCGGTAACAATAAGATGTCATCTAAGCAACGCTGCATGTGTTTGTGTGTGTGTATATCGATGAAATCTTGCGATCAGTGAGCAAGCGTATCTTCGAAATCGATTACGACTCCGATGGATTTGGAAAGAAACGCTAGGAACATTAGAGAAAATCTAGAAAGAGTCCAAGATTAGTAATTGTTAACCGTAATTAATGCAAGCAACGCTTTCTCATTGGAGATAGTTATTCGCGTTTACTGCAGAATCCAAAGGACACGGGACAAACACCGTTCTACTTCGGTTAAGGGGAAAAGAACTGCCTGTTTTGATTCTGGACGTTATAGGAAAGACATATATCACTCGGTCCACCCTATTGCCAGTAGTTAGGGGTAGCGATGCCGGGTAAGGTCCACTGGACGCGACTCGATTTATTGCTTCGTTCGATATATATGATTATTTAAATCTCATTCGAGTTGGACTTTGTCGTCTTTGGCATCGTCGGCATCGTCGGCGTCGTCTACCAACGCTTAATTCCTATCACAATGATTATCTTTAGACGTTGGATTTGTTAAATAAAAAACATTAACGAGCTAAGACGAGAGAAAAAAAGGGAAGAAAAGGGAAGAAAAGGGAATGCATAGGCGAGTTACGCAGGAGGAATACGTAAATCGAGCATACGGAAATGCGTTCGCGAGTCTCGTTGAAAAATATTCGAAGCACAGGCCGCATTTCACGCCTAATTTCGCGCAAATTCGCCGTCGAATATTCCGCTCGTGGTTATAGTAATTCTTTTCGATCTCATGCGGGCCACGTGCCATTTATCTCGCGGGAAAGACGTTACGAGTAAGATATCTGCTGCCACGCCGCGCGAATTCATATTTATCGTTCGGCATTGTTCGATCGCAGTCAATTGCAATACTTCCAAACCGTCTAGGTCAAATAATTCTTCTAAGGTATGTTCATTTTTTCGCGAAAAATAAAATCAAATAAAATAAAAGACAAATTTGAAGAACGCAAGGGGATAGATCAAAATGCACGATCCTCTTGCAGAGATTAATTAGCAAGAAAGCGTGCGAAAAAAAGAGGAGAAAAGTGGACAGGAGAGTTGTACCTAGCCTATATTTCTTTCTCCTCGTCCCCCTCCTCCTCCTGCTCCTGCTCCTCCTCTTCTGCGCGCACACGCTCGCAGAAATTCATTAGGGGTATCTGATATTTCTGGTGGGTGCTTCGCGCCGGAATAAATCATAGCAAAAGGAGCGAGAACGCGTCGTCGACTCGCTTCTTCTTTCTCGTTGCACGCGGGATCCATTCGCGTTTATCTTCGATCTCGAATGAGAGGGAAAGAGGGATGGGAATAGAGAGAGAGAGAGAGAGAGAGAAAGCTAAACGATCGAACGTGATCCGAGCTTAAAGCGTCCGTGGACATGGAGAAAATCTCGTTAGGAACTCGAGGAGAGTGTTGTTCCCCCTTTAGGCACGCAGCAGCTCTGAGGACACGCAGAAGAAAAAGAGAAAGAGAGATAACGAGAAATTCGGAAGGAGCTTTGGCTCTGTCCTCAAAGATATCGGATCGGATCGACTCAATCTTAGAGGCATATTCGTGATCGACGAAGCGTGATACAAACCGTCTTACCAGTTACCTACGAAGATTCAAATTAATTTCGATATTGGACGATTGAAAACTCCTTTAACCTCTTACGAGATGACCACAGCATCCTCCCGTCCTATCTCACGATACGAAGATTACCAAGAGAGATAGCACCAACCGCGAATCTCTCTCTCTCTCTTTCTCTCTCGTTTTGCCAAAGGGAGGATCATACAGGGATTTCAGCCCTTTTCTCGAGAAGCTGTTCGTTCCATTTTCTCTC